TTGCAATTTACTTAAAATATTAAGTTTTTGTTCTTCCGAAATCATTGTTTTATTGTTTTTGTTAATTGTGTCTTCTCACTTATAACTTAAGTTTAATTGGCCAATAACACTCAGTTAAACTAAGATAATAAGTAACGTTACTGTTTACTGAAAAACACAAAACATATATTAAACTAGGTTTAAACAAAGAATGTAGATTATCTTTATCTGAAAAACCCGCCCTAAGTACACAAAAACAACTTTCGAGGATTAATTTTAATTTAATCCCTAATAGTTCACCTAAAGATTGGCCCTTAAAGTAATAATAATCAAAAGGGTCCAATGTCAGGGATATTTCAAAAGTTTATTTTCCTATTAATTAATTCCTTCACCAAAACTAAATGAAAAAGTAGTGTTAATGATTCTAATGTTTTGACTGTTATCTATTTTTGGTCACGTAAGAAAGGATTTATGGAAATTCGAATTTTTAATTTGGTGATTTCTTATCAGAAAGTGCAATTTTATCGGTTTTTATTCAATCAGGGCGCTGCGTGTTTAATTCTATGGTTCTAGAGAACTCAAAAAGTACAATTTGAAGAACGATTCAGAAGAGCAGAAATCATGCAAAATGTGGGACCAGATATGTAACAAAAGAGAAGCTAAGATAATTTTATTATTGATGAAAGTGTACATTGTTCTAATAAATTAAAATTATTCTTTACTTTTATACTTTTGTAATTTAAATAATAAATTAAATTCCAATTTTTCCTGCAAAAAATTATCGTAATTTTCTTTTTATCTTCAATTTCAGATTATCTTGCATATCTTTCGTTTTCTAAATCATTCTGATCTTCAAGCGGCCGGAGCGACTTGTAGTCGTTGGCGCGAAGCCCTATTTGTGGGTGAATTCAATCGCAACATCTTAGTTCATTTTGTTAAAGTATGTCTCTCTGATCGTTTAGCACCAGCAAAGTTTTTTCTGAAATGCCAAAGACCCTATAGAACGTTTTGTTTGGAAGAGGTAACCTTTGGTCAGGCACAAGAACTTTTAACACAAATTGGTAAAACCGCCACCGAAATTATATTCGATAATGCCGATATGGGTGATAAACAGTTCTATGCATTTATGAGACAACTAACCAATTTAGAATCACTAACCGTAACACGTTGCTCTCCTCTCTTTATGTCTGGTTCGTTTTTGGATGGTAGTGGTGATTTTGCTGGCTCATTCGCCAATATACGACATTTGTCTCTAAAACATAATCAATATTTGTCGGATGCCATTTTGTTGCGTTTGACTTCGCTCATTAAGGGTATTGAATCTCTGGATATGTCTGGATGTCATATTGCCTATCACAATGCCATACATCGACGTTTTTATCCCAACGATAGCTTAGCGGCCCATCCTAGTGAATCTATATTAACTTTTAAGTTTTTGGCCAGGGTAGCAAATTTACATAGAAACTATTTAAAGGAATTAAATCTTAGTCACACCATGATCAGTGGACCAGCATTGCAGTCTTTGACATCTGCGGAGAATATTGATGGAGGTTTATCGCTACAGAGATTACGTTTGACAGGATGTCGTCAATTGAACACCAGCGGGGTCAAATCATTTCTACTCACCCAACCCAATTTAGTTTTGCTAGACTTGGCTGATACTTTGTGCGTAAATGACGATTGTGTGGCAGCCATAGTAGATAGTCTTCCAAAACTAAAAACGTTTAATGTAGCTGGTTGTGGAGGCATTACAAATGCTGGTGCGAAATTATTGGGGAATTTAAAACATTTACAGAGTCTAAACATTTCACGCTGTGATGGCATTACTACCGATGGCCTAACGCAGGGCATAGCTCGCTCTAGCAATTCTGTGCTCAGATACCTTTACATGTCTCATTTGATTGTATGTGAAGAAAGTATCAAGTGTATAGCACGCAACTGCCCAGAATTACGCATTTTAAATGTGGGTCATTGTGTTAATGGTGTAACTGATACTTCCGTCCAGTGTATAATCGAGCATTTGCATTGGCTTAGAGAACTCTCTTTAGAAGATTGTTTCCGTGTCACAGATGCCGCCCTAACGGGTATAAACATTTCCAAATTAGAAATGAAAAATTCGACAAATCCTTCGACCGGTTTACTAGAAAACTTTCATCCTACCAATCCCTCCTCTCTGCATGAACGAGAAAATTTAAGGTCTTCCATTTCACCACAATCCATGAAGATTTCTTTACGCAGCAAAGCCGAAGAAGATATTGTAAGAGACGCTAATCGCAAACGCGCTCTTTTTGCTGTTTATGAACTTAATCAGATCGATGATCACATGATTGATGGCTTCAGTATACAACAGCTAAAGGGTTTGAGATCACTCAACCTCAAAGGCTGCAATAAAATCACCGATGTCTCTTTGAAATATGGTCTCAAATTTATTGAATTGCAACGTTTATATTTGTCCAACTGCCAACAGATCACTTTGCTAGGCATGGAAACTTTGGTGCTTAACTGTCCGTCCATTGAAGAAATCGACTTATCCGATTGTTATAATATCAATGACAAAACCATACAATTGTTAACTGCCAAATTAAGTCGTCTACGTGCATTACACATTAGCGGCTGCACCCAATTGACCGATCACAGTTTAGATGCAATTCTAGTCAATTGTAAATGTTTGCAGGTAAGTTTTTAAAAGCTGCTGACTAATTGATTTTAATGTAATTTAAAAAACTCTTTGTGATTATTACCATAGACTCTCTCGATATATCGCTGTCGTCGTATGTACACCGACATTGAAGATCGTTTAGCGGATCTATCCACTTTGCGCCACTTGAATATGGACAATGCGGGTAGTTTGGATAATGTGGAATTATTCCGTCTAAAGAAACGTCTAGATTACTGATATTTTGCTGCAATTTTTGTTGTATTTATACTCTATTACTTTCAATTGTACAATTTTCATTAATTTGTCTTTTTGCATTTGAAAAGACAAGTTCTTTTGGGTTCATGGTAAATCTACATTAAAATTTTATAAGATTGGCAATAATTAAATATGTAATAGCAAACTTTCTTTTTACATTACCTACTAGAACTTTGTATTGTTGTTAAGTTTTAGACAAAATTTTAAATTTATTTTTATGTAAACATTGTTGTTAAGGGAACTTCAATAAAGAAATTGTAGAAGATTTATAGTTTTAATTAAGTAAATCGAATACAATGTAATTGTAGTTCACAGTGAATATATAATATTAGAGCTCTCCTCTAAAGGCCTTAAAATTAATTGTTATTTATTTAAAAAAATCATTGTTAAAATTCTGTTGTTGTTATTATTTTATATCATATTTATTATATTATTATAATGTGTGTTTGTATATGTGTGTGCATAATAAATTGGTCTTAGACACATTTATTTAAATATTCAAATATTTAACAATCTAACTGTGATTTTATAAACAAAAACAAACTTATTACAATTTATAAATAGAAAGTGTAATATGTATTACATCCAAGTTAAAATTGAAAGAAAAATCTTCATGCTGAAACATTAAAATCAAAATAATTGTATTTGTCACGAATATTATTATCGATTTACACGGATATAGATCACACCTCCCTAAAAAAATATACTCAAGAGGTGGAAAATGTAAATTGAAATGTGCCAAGCATTAATGTATGTAAAGCCTTCATCTTAGTATGTATTAAAATAAAATTTTGCTGTTATGGAAAAAAGTGTTTTATTCATTAAAAAATTAGGATAATTATGTTCAAAATGTAATACGTTCCGACATCAAATTTTTAATTGTTGTAACACACAAAACTACACTATTTCTAATCTGCATTAAAATTCATACCTGCATATGTGATCGAATAAGATTTCGTATTCAAAACTCATTTCGATACCGAAATTAAGGTAAAATGATTCTTGTTCATTATCGAATGCCATCATCTATAAAGGAAGATCTTTATAGAAAGCGAAGATGGCTAGATTATACAATTGCTAAACCTCTAAAGGGAAGACTTCATCAACATTTTTACAGACGGATCAGAAACAGATGAAAGAGTCAGCTGTGGAATCTTTTCGGATGATTTGAATATGCAACTGTCATTCAGGCTGCTAGATCACTGCAGCATAATCAAGACCGAAAAAAAAACCATTAAAATAGCCTTCAAACAATTTTAGTAACATAGGATATCGGGTGGAAATATCCTAATACTTACTGATAGCAAGTCGGTCATAAGATCCCTCGAGAATGTGTACACCACTTCAAGAATTACTCAATTATTACGGTTACCCTTAGTTGGGTTCCTGAACATGGGCATAATATATGGCAACCAACGAGATGATGCTCTTACTAAGATTGCCACCTCTCTAAACATAAGTTATTAGCAGGAAACAGCTAATTGCGGAAAAGCTCCACAATATATGAAGATGTACGCTGTTATTGTTTTGTTAAGATGGATTAAGCACGTCTTGATACATAGGGACTATACTCTTGCCGAGTTTTTAGATATCGAGGGAACTTTCAATATCAATAAGATTGAAGAGATAAAAGATTAGCTCATAGAGCTTAGAATCCAAGACTTTCTGGAGAATTGCATAGTCTGCAAGGAGCAACTGGATAAGAATGTAATGTAATATAATGTGCTATTGTCCTAAAAAACAGAGCCTCAGTGAAAAATGTCTAGGAAGTAAATTCCAGGACGAGGTCAGTAATATTCCAGGATGTAATCCAATTTGTTAGGATTTATCAGGGAAATTAGTCGTTCTTTCGGTTTAGGGCTACAATGAAATTTCGGATCCTCTGTCATATAACATTCTTGATCCTTTACTGACTACTTTCCGTCATATTTCTAGTTTCTTATTTTTACTTCTCTTCTATCTTCTTATCGAGGAGATTCACAATGGAAGAATTGCAATGTAAAACCAAAAAATTCATCTTTTGAATCAATGCCCAGAGACCATAGAACAGATTTTAGAAGCAATTTTTCCCCTATTGGGAAGAAAATAAAACACATATTTCTATAGTTATTTGATTATTTCATACACATATCATGTATAGAGTATATATTTTTGTTTTAAAAAACAAATTGCTAAAATACAAAAAGAAAATATAAGATTAGTTATAATAATATTAAATACTTTATGAATATTAAGTAGAAAGGAAAATAAATTGTTAAAAATAACGCAGATTGTATAAAAATCTTAATGAAAATTAAGAAAATCTTCTTAACGTCATCTCATGTGCATTAGAAAATTTGCAAGACAAGCAGCAAATGGCAGATCAGATAAAAATAAGGAAATCACATTTACTCCGGTGGTGTTTTATGTGCACTCCAACCGTGGAAGCATTTTGTAAAACGTTTTGATTCTTTATTCTTAAGTGTTAAAAATAATTTGCGCGGACGTTCCGGTTGCTTGATGCGCATATGCTGTATATAAACCTAAATAAATAAATCAATTAATAAACATTATAAAAATCTAAACAAAAATCAATTAAAAATTAAACTTACTTGTGCTGATTTGTAAGCCAATTTTATTTCAACCTCACTACAACGTGAACCCAACCAAAGAAATACTTGTTCCCCATTGTCCAATATCATTATGTCATCGTCAGCCAAATCATCTTGACAGAAATCTGTACATTTTTCGGCTACAGTAAAGTAGCCTTTTTCATTGGAACATCTGAACAGACGTGTAAAGTTCATGTACTCTGCATTGGTGTCGTAAGGTTTACGGCCACCCAGTGCCACCCAGAAAAAGTTCTCTGGTTCTTCACCTTCATTTAGAATTTGCAAACTCACCCAGGGGCTGTTAAACATTTCTTCGGCAATTTCTTGTATTAATTTGGCCTCTTCTGGACAACTCTTTGAGCCCAGCCAAACGTAAACAATGCCTGATTGGGATTCATCTTCAGTTTCAAATGGCACATACAAAATGTAACTGTAAAACAAAAGTGACATTAGTATGTTGAACATCAATTACATAGAAATTATTTATACCAAAATGCTGAATTGAGATATGAAGCATCCGGTTGGATTTGTATAAGTCTGGTACACAAGGCACCACCATTCGAACGTAAGTGGAAAAATTCTACAGCAGCTTTACCATCTGGAGTCTTAGACTTATCCTTACGTTTGCCAGTATGTATAATAAATTTGCGCTTAAAATGTGCCAAAAATTTCAAATTCTCCTGCTGTTGATGGATGCGCACAACTTCCAGTTCTTCACCAAACATAGTTTTGAATTTCTTTTGCAAAGTAAAAGTAAATGTTAACCAGCCCATATTGCCAGCATTGCGACCTTGCCAAAAGTACACTATGCATTGTATTTCATCGTCCGGTGGAGGTTTGCTGTCATCTAATTCAGCTCCATCTTCATCATCATCGGCCGGTATACAGTAACGACACAAAAACACATAACATTCTCCTGTATAAAAGTGTCCCACTTCTTCTTCCGGCAAACGAACAAACTTCTTGCCTTCTAAAACAAATGCTTCCATTGCCTCCAAATCATAATTCCAATCTTCCTCCAATTGTTCGGCTTCACTGAGCGGCATGGGATTTTGTCGTGGCATAAACAGAGCCGCCAAATCAGCTCGTGTTTCCTGTTGTTTAGCCCATTTTGTTAAATCTGCTCCCGTCTTTGCCACAGAGTTGGCAGTGCGTGTGAAATCTACCGCCATCACTTCATCCCAACCAATAAACTTCGACTTGAATATTTGAGTTTCGGTGCCCTCTTGCAAACGTGTCACTAGTGCATACGAGGGTCGTGTTATCATATTGAATAGCTCACGTGAAAGTTTTATGGCAGCCGCTCTAACTAAGCGAGTTGATTTTTTGCCAAACCAAACAAATAAATCCGTAAAACAGTCTAGTATATAAACATTTTTACTGACTAGCAATGTGTTGACCAGCTTTTGTTCAGGTATTTCAACCTGAGGCAACTCCAAATAGCCCATGCCTAATTGCACTTGATACAGTCTGGGAACAGGTGGCACAAAATTATCTTGTACATGTTGTAAAATCTTTTGCTTGGGTGCTTCTTCTGGATTGCTGCCCAAACGTTGCCAAAACTCTTCACTTTCGTCACCTAAAATAAATATGTAAAAGAAAGTGGTTCCTCAGATAATTATCATACATTTCATGAACTTGTTGATATTCTAAAATTCCTATATCTTGTAGACGTTTGTTTAAGATCTAAATAAAAACTATTTGAGTATGTAAAATACGGCATAAAAAACAGTTCAGTCAATTGGAATCTAAACATACAAATCGTTTACACATACCTTGACTTTCTACAATGATTTCACACTTATTCTTTCGTTCAGTTTTATTGATCTTCTCTGCCATTAAGCGTGTTTTTGAATTCAATGTATTCTTCGAGCATCTTCCCAACCAAATATACATTTTAATGCCACAGTCTAGGACAAACGAATAACGTGGATCCAAAGACTCAAACTCAACAGATACTGGTTCCATATGTATGGATGCGCCTGCAGCATGTACACGATATAGACGTATGGTATACAACATGTCTTCCACTGTATAGAAACCCGTAGCTGTGCGGCCACCTTCTATGTATGTCACCTCAGTATCGAAAAGATTTAAAAATTCTTCAGATTCGTCATCTAAACAGAAAAAAAAGTATTATTTCTGTTCCCAAAATACGATTTTCACAAAAAGATAAAAATATCTGAAATATTTTAGTGAGCCGGCCTTTGAGTTAGTAGCGATATATACTTACTCTGTTCCTCACGAATTGTGCGACAACGGGCACCCAAAAAGTTTCGTAAATTTACCGCATGTATAGCAGCACAAGCTCTTTTATCCAACGTCGATTGATTACCGATCCAAAAATATATTTCCCAATTCAATTGATCCATGTCATCGAAAGATGTCTTCAGCACAATATAACAATCACCCTCATAGAATTTGCCATGAGCAACTTCTTCTATTTTATTTGGAAGAAAATTTTCAATTTCCCATATTGTTATACCTGGCAATTGACCATCTTCTTTTTCAAAGAATTTCGAATAGTCCAATTGAGGTTTTTCCAAGGATTCATCCCAACGTTTAGGCTTAAGGGACTCGGGTCGTGCCTCATCTGAATCGTTGCACCAGGAGCGATTGGCTTCAGCTTCATCTTTATCCTTCGCGACATCTTTCATACCCTTCAGTATTTTAGCCGAATCTTGAGCAGAATCATTACGTGGACCACGTCGTAGACGAATTTTGCGGGCAGTAGAATCTTTTGGCGTGGATGTGACAGGTACAGACGGTGGCACCGCTGCACCAGCCAGGCGAAGTTGTGTTTGTAAGGAGAAATCTATGTTATAGAACTCAATACCTGAACCTTTGGTGGCCTCTGTTGGCTTTGGAGGCATAATTAAATCGGGATTGTTACGTAAATCCAACTGGTCCAGACCATCCAAAAGATGTATAGCGTCTGGTAAGGTTATCAAACGATTCGACGATAGATTAAGTCTCTTCAATGCACCACAACGGCACAGTCCCTCAGGTATCATTTCCAACAAATTGTTAGATGCTGAAAATACCTCCAAACAACACAACTTGCCTATCCCTGATGGAATGCCCTCAAAATCCAGACGATTGTCATTCAAATAGAGTCTTCTTAATTGCGCCAATTTGCATAGTGCCGCTGGTAGAACTGTAAGTTCGTTTCGTGACAGATTAAGAACCTCTAAACGTTGCCAGAACTCTATACTTGAACTTAGTTCTGTAATGGCATTGTCGCTGAGATTCAATCTTTTCAAATTTGGCAAATTGTACACACAATCGGGAACCTTTGGAAGTTTATTTTGCGATAAGTCCAATTCGGTCAAGTTGGACAAACTGTCCAGAGTGGTGGGGAAGTTTAAGAGCGTACGCTGAGTGTTGCGCATATTCAAAACTTCCAGATTTTGCAAAGAGGGCAATTGGCGCAACTGAAATAACTCTAAAGGGTTATCGGCCAATATTAAAGTCTGTAAATTTGCCAAACGTCTTGTCTGCGGTGGCAATGTTTCCAATTTGTTATGGGATAAATCCAAAAATAACAAATCCGTTAGATGTATAAACAGGGCTGTTGGTATGGTCTCAATATTATTGTGACTTAAGTTCAATACCAACAAACTTTTTGCCTTTTCTAAGCCTTCCGGTACTTCTTTCAATTTGTTGTGCGATAAATCCAAGGTAGTCAATTCGTCTAAACGAAATAATTCGGGTGGTACGCCACTACTTTTGATTTGATTTTTTCTCAAATTCAAGGAACGTAAACATGTCAACTCGGTTAGTTCACCAAATAGTTTTTCCAACTGATTGTGTTTCAAACTTAAATGCTCTAGTTTCAAGAGATTTCCCATTTCCTCGGGAATTTCCTTCAAATTTGTTTTATCCAAATTCAGCCATTGTACGCGGGTCATTAATTTCACCGCTGAGGGAAAATTGTTATCCTAGAAATATCAAACAAAATTAATTTGTGTATAAAAAAACATAGTAAAACAAAAACAAGACTTTGTTTGTAAACAAAACAATTGTCAGCGCAGCAGCAGAACTGCTTTGGTTTTTTTTTTTTGACAACTGAGACAGATTCTAGTTTGACACAATTTTTTTTTCATTCACTAACACCATCACAATGCAAATTCAGCTGGATTTTCATTCATTGTTTTCGTCGATTTTTTTACAAATACAGATGAAACTTCACTCTTCCCGTATTCTTTAAACATTAATCTTTATATATTTAAGGTTTTTTCTAATTAATTTACTTACACTAAAGTCATTTTTCGTAAAATCTATGCCCCGTACAAATGGTAATACACCCGTATTGGCCATTTTTTTCACTGTGACTAATACATAGTTGCAAACTAAAGTATTCATTTTGCTATGCAGAGTTGCAATATAAAGCATTGGAAAATACTACAATTTTGAAGATTACAAATTGAAAATTGTGACAAAATATTTGTCACAGTTACTAATTATCAAATATTAAATAAATATACTTATCTTTAAATTAAAAACTAAAATTCCTTCAACAATACTTGAATTCACCATAAAATGTTTGTCAATAAATATTGATTATTTAATTTTCAAATTTATATAATACAGGCAGATTTTGACATTTATAAAAATGCAAAGAAAAATATGATTATATTTAATTTAAATTATAATGACTAAAGTTACTATTCTTTCTCAAGAATCATCTTTTCGCAAAAAAGACGTAAACCCCAAAAATAAAATTTTACAGGAGAGCATTTTTTTAACTTTCTTCGAAGTAAGACATAGCATTAATGTAAAACTCTGTCAATAAATATTGTTTTATCTGAGGAATATGATGCAGTCTATTTATATTTTATATTTATTTGTCCCTTACGTCCTTTTTGCCGGTACAAATTTTTATGGAATAAACAATTTTGAGATGGTTACGGCTCAATTCTCTAACTATAAAAAATATTTTTGGTGTTCATATATCCTTATTTAATTTGTATATCTGAAATTTAAAAGTGTAATAAATGTTTTGGTTCTTATAAGATTTTGAGATGATCTAGCGATAACCGAATGTCAAGTCTGTTTATTAAAAACCGGATAAAATCATTGTTTCATGATTTTACTTAGCCCCTATACAAATTACCCTCCGAATACAGTCAAAACCTTACTAAATATCTTGTTTATGTAGAAGTTGTGATAAAATATATTTATAGTTATATATGTATGTATACCTGTAAATTGACCCTACCCCTCATACAAAAAATCAGTTTGAAGTCGATAAATCTTTAAAAAAAATATCTAATAGTTTAGTTTATCTAATAGATAGATGGACATCGGTCCACAATCGTTAAAGATTCGATCCAATCATTCGTTAAAGATTCTGAAAATCAACAATATGTCCTTATTAATATCCATACATGATAATACAATTCACCATAAATCTAATAAATTAAATAAAGGTGAAAGTACACAACACGCGTTGTACGCGGCAGCGCGTTATAGGCTTCAGTCAAAAAAAGTTGAAATAATGTATTTTCACTTAACAAGTTACACACTGTAGTTGTAACGCATATGCCGCGAAAAGTTCAGCAACTTTCAACTTTTGACGCGTCGGCAGCTGATCAGGGTTGTATTTTGTTTTGTGTAGAATAAGAATAAACTAAACTGAAATGAATTTCACCAACAATGAAAGAAAAATATTAAAAACTTAACAAAATCTTAAAATTTTGACTTTTGAAACAGTAATAGTTTTAAAAAACATTAAAAGAAAGATCAAAATGACGCGTGGTGTGTAACTTGCAGCTTGTAAAGAGCGAAAAGTTTGAAAAGCGTAAAACGCGTTGCCGCCGCAATGCGTGTTGTGTATTTTCCACCTTAAAATTCTGGTAGTATCGATTCATAAAGGGTCCATATATAGGACCGCCTTCCGAAATTCACATATTTACAACTAAATACAAGTGTTGGTTTTTTGGAAGTAATATAAATGCAATACATTTAGTAAATAGAATGAACTTAATTCGTAAAAAGTTGTATAAAACTATAAATTTTGCCACATAAATTGCAAGGCATAACGATTATTACATGAATTTGGAAACAATTATACCCAGATATTTGACATTTTTCTATAAAAAAAATTAAAATCGAAAAGGGCTCGATATGGTTAAATATTAATATAAAATTTTAAACATTTGTATTATACATGTCGTCTGATACCACCTTAATAAAATTTAAAATTGCGAACTGGAGTTTGATTGCAAGGTTTACATAGATAGGCGAACATGACTTAATCGACCCAAAAATATTCTGATCTAATTGGCTACTTAAGTTTTGTGCGTAAGAAATATCATAACAAATATAATATACGCTCGCTATTAAAGTGGTGTATAATATTATACCAATAAAACTTTGCATATTTTGCCCCACCCGTTCGTTTTTATTTAAAAACGTGTTCAAATGTAAAGACCGTTAAGTAGCGGAATTTTATTCAAAATGCAACTCTGCACGTTGTTTTTGAAAGACAGCTGACATTGCAAAACTTCTTTTAAACGCCATTTTTTTGATTTGTCAGCAAGAGAAAGAAAAAAATTTTAAAAATTTATTTAAAAAACTTTAAGAAAAGAATCAGATAATTAAAAACAAGCATTACGATATAAATATCATCATAATAACACATATTATAAGGGTATGTTGTCGCCTCGGTTATGCTCCTTCTAACAATCGATTTTGAATTGCAATGTTGGCAACACATGTGCTTTTTCTTAAGTCTGTGCGCCCCTACTGCGGGAGCAAATTAAAATTGTTCATCGTCCTGTTTGCATCTTGAGTGATAAATTGATAATGTTAACTTGGGTAATTACAGGTGAAACTCGTGATCCAGCTGGTCTAACAGACATTCGATGGAATGGAATCTGTTCGCTGTTACTTGTGTGACCATGAATTTGTGGAAGGCGAAGAGCCATGGCTAATGTTTGAACAACGATTACGTGAGGATGGTCAAGTGGAATGTTCACTGGCTGATTTGTTGGGTACCATATTAGAAAAGGATTTGGAGGAGGCTTTAGCCCATTCTACAGTAAGAACCCCTTTTAATTGTTTGGGAATTTAATGATTTATTACTGCTTTTCAGTTACTCTGTGATTCATGTAATGCTGATGTGTTGGAATATGAAAGTCTTGAAAAGCGTTTCTCCCAAATACGAGAAAGAATTTTAAGTTCATACAAAGAAAATTCTACTATACAGAATTTAAATAATTTGTTGCAAGGAACTGTTGTCATTGCCCATGGAAGTGTGCCACAAGCAGACGAAGAAAATAAAAAATTGCTTATTGATAATGCAGAAACCATGGAAAATATTTCGAATGGGGAATATTTAGGAATTACAGAATTGGATTTAGTAGAAGAGGTTCAGGACGATGAAGTAGAATGTGAAGAGAATTTAAATGTAAATGATTTAGAAATTGAACAAGTGCCAGATCACGGTGATGTAGGATTTATTGATAATGTTAGTTCACATATCGTGCCTGATCATTTTGATTTTGCCGCCTTTAATGAACATGTAGCACAAAATTCTCTACCCGCTGGTGTACTAAATTTATCAGATGGTCTTGTCAATTTAGCAGTTTCGGAGAAGTCTATTGATGTTCAAGACATACCCTTGGAAGGTCAAGGTATGTAAAATGCATTTATAAATTTTTATTGTATGTTTATTAATATATATATCTTTTATTTAAGATATCATTATATATGATGTTAACACGGACCAGATTCAACAGGGCGACTTAATTATTCAACAAGATAACGACAGTCGTGATTTGAAAACATATGATAGTACTGAAGGTAAGTACTTAAAATGTTTCATTTAAATATCATTTTTTTAAATCATACAAAATTACGAAATTTATTAAACTTTTATCTTCGAACATAATATTAATAAACCGCAAATATAAGGTTCACCATATACTATTTCACATTAAACTAGTTCACGCAGACCGAATAGACACATATTGGTTTTATATTTACCTACTGCTTATGATAATGCTCTTCAATATTAAAATATTTATAGAATATAAGCTTTTAAAGATTGTTCAAAAAATTTGTTAAAAATTGTTTTTTAAAACCCAATAGTGATGTGAAAACATACTTTAATTTTTATTAAACGTAAAGATATTTTTTATGTTAAACTTTATCAAGTCGGTATCAGGACTGTTCTGCTCTCCTTATTTAAAAGAACTTATATACTTTTCTATTTCTTCGGATTTGATGTAGTGTACATCCTCCTATCAACCTATATACTTTTCTATGAAAGGTATCATCGTTCTATGTTCAGAAATTCAGTTTTATGGACGTTGTGCCAGCGTTCCTAAAAGTTGTTATATATACCATATCATCGATTTCCTAGCATACTCTAAATTTAAAATGTTCGCCCTATTTGAATACCATTGTAATAGTTTTCGTACTCAATTTGTTGGAAGCACCAAATAGGACCAATATATATGGTGCAATATTTAATTCTTTGCACTAAAACTAGGATAGATGTACCAACCATGTATTTTTTCGGGAAACAAAATCGGACTACTCCAATGGAAAATTAAAGTTACAATTATATTAATAATATAACCACGTTTTATTTTCGAGTATATTTTGGATCGGTTGCAGTTAATAATGTAAACATTTTTGCATTTTCTTTCATAAATAGGATTTTTAATAACGATAAAGAAGTCGTTTTACAACAGACTTCCTATATTATCCACATGGTCAAACATTATCGTTAACAATTTTTAGAGGATTACGCTTCATTTAACGCTTTCACATGTATGCAGAACTTTTTTTTTATAACATTTCATATCATTTAAATTATTTAATCGCTAACAAGTTTTAATTTTCTTTGTTCACCATTTAATTGATTGTCCACTTAATTGTTAATAAAATAATAAAAGCGAATTATTTTTGCAGACGAAGATCTGAATTTCATAATTAGTACGGATATTTTCACAAGTGAAGGCAACTGTGAAGATTCCCAGCAATCAGCTGCATCAGAAATAACACCAAATGATAATGAACAGCAACAGGATGCTGGCACTTCAGAGACAAAACCCCCAGCCCCTAAAGCGGTTTGTAAGCTAGATGGGGACTCGTTTATTTGTCTTATTTGCGAGATATCGCCACATTTTGAACGTCAGACACTAGTGGAACATTTTCAAACATTTCATAACTCAAAATTCCATATGTGTGAGCAATGTCATGAAGGATTTGGAAAACGACAAGACTTGAAATTACACACAGAACTGGGTCACATAATACAGTGTGAGCATTGTGAACGGACGTTTAATAATAATCGTTTGTATCGTATACACAAACGTGTGCACTACAATAATACGAAACAATACGAATGTCCTGTTTGCCAGAAAATGTATGTGTCCAAAGCAATTTTGGAGGAACATATGAATACTCATACTGGTGTAAGACCCTTTAAATGCAGCGAATGCCCCAAAGATTTCGCCTCGAAATATACACTGCAAACACATATGAAAATACATAAGGAACGACCGCGTCCCTACCAGTGTGATCAGTGTGATAAACGGTTCTTGAATCAACAAAATCTGAATCAACATAAAAAATTGCACGTCTCTGTAAAAGCCTTCCATTGTGATGTGTGCAATAAGGCTTTCACCACTCAGCATAGTTTGCAAGTTCATAAAATAGTACATTCAGGTCAAAGGCCTTTTATTTGTCGTACTTGTGGAAAATCATTTGCTCGTAGACCGGAAATCAAAGATCATGAACGTATTCATACCGGTGAGAAGCCTTTTAAATGTGAATACTGTCCGATGGCTTTTGCTCAACGTACTAATTTGGCTAGTCACAAGAAATCGACACATTTGAATGAGAAACTACACAAATGTGATCTATGCTTGCGATCTTTTAAACGCAAACGTTTATTAGATTACCATATACAAGCCATTCATACGGGAGAACGGCCGCATAAATGTGAAATATGTGGGGCAGGATTTGTCTATCCAGAGCACTATAAAAAACACATGCTCATACATAGTGGGAAGAAGCCATATGCATGCGAGGTTTGTGGAAAACAATTCAATAGTCGTGACAATCGTAATGCGCACCGTTTTGTGCACAGTGATAAGAAGCCTTACGAATGCATGGAGTGTGGTGCGGGTTTTATGCGCAAACCGCTTCTCCTAACACACATGAAGCAAACAAAACACATAAACGATACAATAATTATTAATCAGCCACAATTTACTCAACATCAACCAATGGAAATGGGCAGCATCACTTCAACATCGTCCTCCGCGGAATACAACAATTTAAATGAAGAAGAATCGGAAATTGATGTGGACAATGATCTAAAATCACAAGAGGTTTCCGATGAAACTCTAGAAAAAATCATATTCAAGGCTGACGACTTGTTGGCAGAAAACGTTTCGGTTGCATCGATTACTGACAAAGATGTCGACGAAGATGAAAATGTGATAACGGCCGTAGGTGATCATTTAATGAAGAATGATTTGGATAATGTTAAATATTTGGAATTTGAAGATTTAGAACATGATGGTCATCAGACTCTAACGTGGGTGAACATAGGAGGTGATGATAAAGTTTAAGTCATTGTATTTTATTTATCTAATACTATTAAGTGAATACATTTTCAGAGAAAATAAATACTATTTTTATTACGTTATCGATATTCAACATTAATTTCTGGTTTATTTTTTTATGGAATACATATTTAAGTTAAGATGGTTTGAAAAACGTTAGTTTCGTCATACGTCATCATACGTTTCAGTTTTACTTGGGTCTAGGATGATCCCTTTGCTAAAATGTCTGTAAGAAATAAACAAAAGAAAGACAAGAATAAAGAATAAAGTGCTATGAGTTTCGGCCAGTATAGTGAGAATTATGTATTCACACCTAATTTGACAAGTTCAAAAATGCATTTAGATCGAATTGATCATTGAAATAATTGACCCTAGTCTAGGTCAACTAGATGGTCTATTTATTATCTTTATTTTGACAAGTTCTGTAGAACTCATTATACGGAAGACCAGAACGTCTAGCATCTAGTAAACGAACTAGTATACTCATGTGATCAACGGTACTGTGCAGTTGTATCACAAGATTTCCGGTTCCAGTCCGGTATTCATGGACCAGTCGAGGTGTGGGATACTTTCCCATCAGAGATTTAATAATAGTGTAACTATCAGCATGATTTCCGATATCTGATAGTACCTTAGCTAATTTGACGCAGATGACGATACTACCCTCTTGTATAGGGTATTTTATAATCGTGCAAAACCCGACTATAATTACTTTTCGATTTATGAAGAAATTACTGTTGTAATGTCTACTTTAGAGCCAAGCTTCTAAAGATGTAATTTTCCGATATATCATTCATACTCATTGGTTTGCCACAGATCCAATATGATTAAATTCGTCTTATTGTGATTGATATGGTAAAAGTAATAATTTCAAAATCAAGAAAAACTAAATGATTTATTTTTTATTTTCAATAAAATCATTAAAATTTATTTAATAAATAGTACAAGTTTATTTAAATACGAATACAAATAAATTGTGTTTATACATTTTTGATTTCTATTCTGAGTTGTTTGTCTAGATAAATTAGTTTTTTGTTTGAAGGCGGTTACAATTTTACGCTATTAACAAAATTTTTACAGTAACGGTAATAAAATAAATTTAATAAGTTAGGTGTATTGTTTTTACTTTAAATTGTTGGTTTTTGCTTTCGTTTCAAATTGACTAGTTGTTTGAATAAATTCCTTGGTTGACTTAACAATTGATTGTTTTAACAATTTTATTAATAGTATTAAATATATAATAAATATACAGATTTATATAAGTTTAATTAGGTATTTAGTATATAAAAACAGTAGTGAAAAAAATTTGTCTAAAAAACATTGTATGTATAGTTAAATGGTCCGTCGACATACTATTTAAAGGCTTGTAGAGGAAGAATATTAACCGCCGCCACCACCTCCAGATAGTTCATCTTCATATTGCTTGCGGAAGCAATCACCGACTGGGAAGAAGTCCCAGCTACGCTGTTGATACATATTCCAAACGTATGTCTCTTGACCAGTATATTCCGTATCCGGTTTGTTGATCAAATGCATAAGGAAGAACATGTAGTTGGCCAAGTTGTGTTCTTTCTGGACATGAGTATCGAAACCGTGCGGTACTATGTCAAAGAAGTCCTTACCCATGCCACATATGAAGCAATTAGATTCCATATTCTCTTTCACCGACTCCAATTGATCACGAAGCTCACCAAAGGCATCAATGATCAAACCTTGAATGATGGCCAAAAGAATAACAATGACGAAGAAGAAGAAAGTAATATCGAAGATAATACGATAGACTTCGTAATCATCACCATCTGGATCGCCGATTTCGTCACCAATACCACCACCTGCTCTAACGCCCTTATAAAGATGGAATACAAAGCACGTTAACATGTCGTGACATTTTTTGTCTACTTCTTCATCCTCTTCTTGAATATAGAATTTACGGAAGAAATTGAAGGCGATGACCGTGTATATGTATACGATAATGGTCAAAAGCATTACTGTGAGTACGAGTTGTTTACCGTTATGTGTTACGGATTGCAAAATGGTACGTAGAGTCTTGAAACCGACAGCAACATCGAGTAAATGAGCAGCGAAGAAGAAGTTGTTAAAGTTTCCCATTACAGAGAACGAGAAGTACCAAAGTGAGTAGAGGAAAGCATTATCGGTAAATGTTACGCCCGCCTTCCAAACTTGATAGCGCCAATCGATGTTCATAATGTATTTAACGAGGCCACCTTCATCAGCTTCCTGAGCCATAAATGAACTTTTCTCCATACCCAAAAGATTGGAAATCGAATCGAAATCATACGTTTCACTGTACTTTTGACGTACTTTTTTCTTTACGAATTTGTCCCAATAGTTAACCGGGAATGATTTAGCTGATATCACCAGTTTATCCCAATGCGACTTGAAATCATCATCTTCGGGTTGTTCTGCAATGAATAGGCCGTCGAATTCCAGACGTCTGGCAATTTCCTTTTCACGTTTGAAAATAGCCAATGGAACTTTGAGATGATAGTATGCAATCAACATAGCTAACGAGACCAGACTGTGCAATATGGCCGCTATACGTATAACGTGTTCCATATAGAAGAAATCTTCGTCGACGTGAACCAATTCCGGTATATCATCTTCCTCACCTCCGTCATCGCCCGAACCTTCACCTGAGCCAAGACCAGAACCAGTCATACCTGCACCTGAACCAGATCCCAATATCAATACATCATCACCGGAAGCTTCTTCGTCTTCAGTAAAGGATGTAACTTTATAGAAGAGTAACATAAAGTTGATGCTGAAAGCTAAAACTAAAGCAACATATTTCAGGTTGTAGAAATTACGAGCCAAAAAGCTAACGGCACGGTGGGCATAAGCAGAAAAGTCGATTTGATTAACGGCTGGAGTTTCTTGAGGAGCTGCAGATGATTTCTTAGCTTCGGCTTCAATGGAGGCCATTGCGGCTTCTTGTGCTTTTTGAGCCTCTTGGCGTTCTTGGGCGGCCTTCTTAGCTGCCTCTCCACCTAATAAATCTACAATCGATATGGGTTCAGCATGGCTTTCTGCCTCAGCAGTTGCTTCACCAGTAGGACCTCCATCTTCAGGGCTAGATTCACCAGTTTCCTCAACGGATGTCGAAGGACTGCCACCTGAAGACTCATGTACCGTAACCTTATATTGTCCGTTTTCTTCCTTATTTATGTCCAAACCAAATGCTTGTACTGTGCTTGGCGGTTCCTCTATAGGCAATGGCGGTAACGCCCTACCAAACGTTTCTTCCTCCACTGGTGCCTCTTCTACTTCCTCAGGAGCTGGACCACGCATCAAATTCATTAAAATTCCAAATATATATCGAACCACTGCAAAGTGGGCATAACCAGTGTAGTAGAACATGTAGAAAATAATTTTAAAGAAGCCAACAATCAATTCCGGTACAGATTTCGTTTGCATAACACCAATTTGATGTTTAATATTTGCAGGACTTAACATAACCGCTGCAAATTTAAGACCATCTTTTACAGCATTTATGGTTCGTGTAACAGGGTGTCTAGCTGCTCTTTCTTCATCCTCTTCACTCATATAAGAACTATAGGAGGTATCACGTTTGACATTACTGCCACCTTCATCAGTAGCCATCAAACCAGAAGCATGAGTCATTTCAAAAATGGCATCTTCACAGAAGTTTACAAAAGCTTCAAGTTTTTCCTTATCACCGCCTTCGGTTACAATTGAGTAGAAGAATGCTCTCTTCGATTCCTTAATCTGGGGTTTCTCCCATTGCTCGATATTTGAGTCCTTAATTTCGAAATAAACACGTTCAATTCTCTTTGAACTACCCAAGATTTCAATACGACCTAAGAATGGCTCAAAGTAGTTCAACACAGAGCCAGCAGTTTCAAGGAATCGAGCTAAACGTGGTTCATTAGGCATATGCTCACTTAGGTTGGTCAACAATACAGCCAAATTAAAACCGATTTCCGTTGAGGGTTCATGGAAACGATCAACAAATGCCGCATAATCAATTTTACCCTCATGATTACGTTCACAACAAGCCAACAAAAAGTCCATTTCCTCGCTAAAATGTAAATGATTAGTATTCTGTTATACAAAATGTACACAAAATGAATCTTACGGTGTATAATTCTTCGATTGTTCCATTTTATCTCTAAAATCTTTTGGAGTTACCCATCCTTCGTTCTTGATATCAATTTCTTGGAAGCTGGGAGATTCAATTAGATCCTTGAGTTTCAAGAACATATCGAAATATTTCAAAATCAATTCCACATTGCCAGCAGATTCTACCAGTGTGTCAACCATCTGTTTACCAATTGTACCTGGAGAATGTTGAGATATTTTATTATAAGTTCTAGAATGGAAAATATTTACATTCTAATTACCGTTTACGACATTGCCTTCCAACATAGATAACATCATAGTGATCATGTCCTTCTGCAAATTCAACAGTTCCTTCAATAAATCAACTTGACTGGAGTGCTTCGATAATTTTTCCTGCATGTGAGAGAAAAGGAAGAGGAAACCTCCAACCGCATCCCACAATCTTGAATGGGCCAAAGCTTGCTGATTAAGAGTACATGGACCCTGAATGACTTCAGTAAGGGTGTTGAATACTTGACTTGCCACACCGATAGCCTTAAAGAAATTGGCCTTTCCTGCTGGATCTATGATTTCCTTGCTAGAATAATGCCAATAGAAGTCCATAATAGATTCCTGCAGACGCAACAAGTAATCGACTGTGCAAATGACAACGTTCACTGTTGTTGTGTTGCCAGCCTGGGTACGCAAGTAATTCTGCCAGTCTGTAAAGAATTGCAAACATTTTAGAGATTCGAAAGAACCAGAGGCAAGTTATTGTGTTACTCACCCAAGTTGTGACCTTCACAAGTCAATTGAATGAAACGGAACAGCGCACAAGTAAATTCGGCATCATGCATATTCTTCTCGCCAGCAGCACCTTCCGAACCGACGCCAAGACCTGCACCCGCACTTGGAATGTATTCTTTGTTTGCAAAGTTTACAATATTGTGTGGGGGATAACCAGGGTAATACATGCGGATTGGTTTTGTGATGGTAGTGGAGATGGACGTGATGGTGTTGGGGTTCAGTGCAAATTTACAACAACAAAATCGGAAAGTAGGTGATGATAATTGGAAATTTTGAAAAACAAAAGCGTGCAAGGATAATGATGAAGTTTTAAAAAATAAAATACAACAGAAGTGCAAATAAAACTGAAGGAGGAAAACGAAAAGAACTAAACTTCCAAAACATAAAGGATAGATGACAGTGGTGGTTGGTTAGGATGGAGTGGCATGGGATGGGACTAAGGAAAAGGCATGTGTGTTTACTTAATTGCTATATGACATTACCTTCTGCTTTCGTGTTTCTCTCGAAAGCATCCAAATCCAAGACACTGCACGAATTCATTAAGCCAGCAATTGAGGTAAAGAATCCAACATCCTTTTTCTCCTTTAGATGATTAAGCATTCCCATTTGAATATCAATGTTGCCGCCACGTAAAATGGCAATACCCAAATTTAAAGTTGTCATTACCATTTCGGAAGGTATACCCTTGGAGGCAGATATATGCAACAACACCATTTCAGCTACACCACGATTTGACAAACGTGCTTGATGGAAAAGTAATTTTTGTTTTTCCATTTCTTGTTCCTAAGTTGCAAAAATAAAATAGTATTAAAAATATAAGTTTTGGGTTAAATGAAATTAAGATGACTTTTGATAGATCAAAATTCATTTTCTAATTGCTCGGTTAAGTAACAATATGAAAATGTTAATTATCACTAGATAAAGTTACCATTAGTTTAGCCATTGTATTCTATAGGTTAGGACAGCGTGCAAGTGTTAAAAGTTAGTTTAGATAAATGAGTTCTAAAGTATTTTATATTTGTATTAATAACAACTTACATGGATACTTGTTCCTTCTCCTTCCGCTGCTTCTTCACCGCCTTCACCACCCTCTTCTTCACCGCCTCCTTCTTCCTCTTCTTCTCCACAAGATTTGGCAGCAATTTGAGCATATGACATATAAAGTACATCTTCCTGAAGGGCACCACTTCTTTCAGTCATAGCACCCCGACAGAAGGTAGTAACCAGCTGCGTCAAGGGATCAGGTTTGCTTTCGGATTCATCTTCTTCCTTTTTGGACTTTTCGAATTCTTCAAATGTTTGCGTAAGATCTTCGATCATAACCTCTTGGCCTACATTTTCTTCCTGTAGCCATTGTTCGTGATATGTACGAGCAAAAATGTTGCAAGCTCTATGTCTATTTTGGGGAAATGTTCGCAAGAAATAATGTTAATATTTTGTAGAATATATTAGAACTTGATTCAATAACTCAATTAAATATTCATCAGCAAAATTTTAATTGCATTACTTTAACAGAATTCAAATATTCTGATTTGTTAGCATTTAATATCTTTTTGGTTTTTTAATGTAAAAATACATGCGCAAATTACTTTAGGATTAATTTCATAACGAAAATACATACACAAACAGAATAAGAATGCGCATTAGGATTTTTTTGTTCGGAATAATTGTATCCCAATAAAATTACAAAAAAAATATATTGGTTTAACGATTATATAGATTTTACTGGGAATTTCAGTTAAAATATCACTAGTATGGTACACAAAGGGAAAAGGAAATATACACGCCTGGTACCAAATTGACACAAAAGAGTTTATAATTTTTCAATAACATCCATTGTCAAAGTATATACATACGTACGACAACACTGTTAACAAACGTGGTAGTGAGCTAACCACGTTTGTTAACATTTAGACAACGGATGCGTATAAAATTTAGATTTGGACAACGAATTATTGTAATGTTGTCAACATTACATAGTGTTGTCGTACGTATGTATATACTTTGACAACGGATGGTATTGAAAAATTATAAATAGTTTGGTGTCAATTTGGTACCAGGCGTGTATATTTCTTTTTCCCTCTGTGTATACTACTATTTGAAGAATCAGCGGTTGGAGTGACAAAATGAAACCAACAAGAAAATTGGCAATATCATTAGGAAAGTTATTGATTTTGGTAAAATATTTTTAAAAGCGAACGCTAATAGGGGGTATCTATAAGAACTACATCATACTCAGGTTTAACATTTGTAGTGGAAACGGACTCAATTGTTCTTTCTTCATCAGATATGAAATTGGGCTAAACGCCTCGGGGATATTCTCGGTAAAACTATTAACAATAGAATACTATTGGAAAAATGCTGCATGAAATCTTTTAATCCCGAGGAAACCCGATAGTCGTATAGGGATAATAATGAGGTTCATCAAAGGCTTGTGTCCACTACAGCAGTATCAGCAAAAAAATATTTTAAAACTAATTCTCTCTGATCATACATTCATCTTGATATTGAAAATCATAATTACTTATCAGTTTCTATGAATTATATATCGATACCCTATATTCAAAAAGTTCTAAATCAATAAAGTCTAGTTTTCAGGAAAGCAAAAAAACTATTTAATTCGTGAAATATTGCACTAAAAGACAATATTTCTTCCATAATACGTTTTTAACATCCTTACTAATTCTTACCTATGAAAAATTTTTAATATTTTGCACATTTTAGCGACTTATTTAAGATAGCACTTTTTGGTCGACAAAAAAAAAACAAATATTTGTTCTAAGTTAGCATGTTTTGTTCTAATAATATGCGTTATTTTATAATTTTATGAAATGTTTTTTTTTTTTTAAGGGATATATGTAAGTAAAACCAGTAAGTCCAATAAGATGCATTTACACCATTTAAGTAGAAAAACTCATGGCATATCTGCTTGTTTACTATTCCTCAGTACAAATATTTTAAATTATGAAAAGTTTTTGAATATAAAAAGTACCAATATTTTTTGAATAATACTCCATAATTTGCACATTTAAAGACTTTTTTATAATCAAAATTCTAAATTGGAACCATAGAATATTATAGATCTTAGTGTTATAAACGATTTCTGAAATAACTTTACATTTTTCGGAAAAACATTATTTAAAGTCTAAAACTGGCTTTATATACAAATATATAAATGATCATATCTTAAAAACTATACATTCAATTTATTAATCTTCACCTGTTTTGTGTTCAACATGTTCATCTTGTTAATATACAAAATAAATTTTAAATAAATTTGAAGTTTTAAAAAATGTTGTAAAATTTGTATGGAAGTTAGCACTTATTTTCTTCAATAAAAATTTAACTTTGAGATAGCATATTAACAAAAATTTTTGTTAAAAGTGCAAAAATTACTTTTTTGATTTCAAATTTATACCAGACGTGGGTCATGCATTGAGGAATCCTTTTGCATCAAAAACTCACTTTGCCCAAAATTGAGTTCGCACCTTTTGAATATAGGGTCACGATATGCCAATCGCATAAAATTTAACAATTAAATCGAACTCTGTTAAAATCCCAATGCGCATGAAAATAAAATATCGAATTCGATTCAAAATCGTTTCTTGGTGCGCGATCATAGAAGCTAACAAACCAAACATGCCCCACCTGCTAACGCGATAGAGATGAATGGAACGTAAGCTGGACATGACCGCATGCCGGCGGGCCAATGTTATTTTAGATGACCGACTTTTTGATTTTGGCTTAGAGCGCGATGCCTAAAGGAATAGGAAGGACACAAAAAACACACAAATCAGCACAGCCATAAGCTTTAATAGTTAGTTACTAGCTATAAGATTAGTTTATTAATTTAGTATAGAGTTTGGATTTAGATTAGGGAGAAACAGGTATAGGAAAATTATTAAATAAAATAATAAAATTAAAGAGCAAAGGACAAGAGGATGAAGTGTCTACAAAACAGAGGTACAGTGATGAATGATAGTATTTACAAGAGCCGAAAACGATTGCATTTGCGCGCATTACTAGAATTAATTTAGAATAAAAACTGGAACAAAAAAACACAGGTGGACATTCCAATTGAACAACATAAAATAAATCGTTAAAACAAATAAATACAAAAAATATATAATATACAATAATAAAACACTTAAACACAAAAATGCATTCCTTTACAGCTCTGTTATTCAGAGTGTGTCAACGAGAGTAAGACAAGGAGATAGAGAACATGGTGTCACGTGTTAGTCAATTAAATATTAAAGTTTTTGCACAAGATCTGATAATTGTTTTTAAAAACCTTGGTAAAGAATGTAAAGATGTCTGACGGAAGCACGCAATAACAGCACGCTTCCTTTGTATGGAAACAACACTCCTGTAGACATTTTTGCTTTGCTGTTGGGGATGATCAATCTGTCATTGTTGTGGAAAATGTGAAAAATCAGGTAAAATTAAAGAAAACATAATTAATTGAATGTGATAAATTAAGATTAAAATTAAGAATAGTGTAATAGAAATTAAAGATTTTAAGAGGATTTAGGCCAAGGAAGTTTTTGGGATATAGATTTAGAAATATATGTAGTTAAAAAGGATCTTTACCTTAGGCGGCAAATATCCAAACTGATTGTAGTGGGCAGCAAAAGAAGCATAATACGACATTTTCTTAATTGTCGAAAACAAATTCAGTTAACTGAATTTGAATTTCACGTTTAGGAAATGTTTAATGCTTCTCCTCCCCTCACCACTGAATCAGTCAATAGGAAAACAAATCACTTTCCTTGTTATAGATCTGACAACTTACCATGTGCAAGCCATATAATACTTTGGCCATCGCTACAATACGATCGACAGTTTCTTGTGTCTTGTCTTTGCCCTTTTCATTTTGATTGGCTGCTTTCTCCACTGCTTGCTCTTCGGATACTTCTTCCTTTTTGCCCAATTTTGAATACAAATAATGCTGCCATGACATTTCATCCGAAGGATCTAGTTTGTCGGGCAATGTCAACTGAAGGTGAGCAAATTCGATAACATCGTACTCAGGCATTTTCTTCAAGTAACGATCTTTGCAGTGCTGAACCAATTCCTGCTCACGGCCAGCAAACAGGTTGAGACCCACGGGCAATAGACGTTTGAGACATGCAACCATTAAACTAGCTTGTATCTCTTTGTCTTTGTCGCGCTTCTTATCACGATTCTTTTTCTTCTTCTTAACCTTGCCTCCTGTAACAGGAGTGCCCTCTGTAATTGCAGACCTTCTGGTAGCCGTTGGCATAATCAAAGCCATGTTATCAATTTCATTAGCTGAAATAAAGTTTTGTTCTTCCTTAAGGAAGTACTGACTCTTTGACCAAATGTTAAATATTTCTGCCACATGGTTATATAGCTCCTCGGCTTCAGGAATATTATCTTTAAGCCAGTGATTACGTTGAAGATCGACATACTTGATTAACAGAGGATAGAAGGAGTATATATCCCGTACCAGCAAGTTCCAGTCCTCTTGCAGTTGCGTTTCAACTTGTGACGTGTCATCCGTTGCTGATTTGATAAAGCCACGCATGCTCTCCTCCTTGTGGAACATGTTCTCAGTTCGTTTTTTAACTCTTTCCGCCAAGGGCAAGAATGGATCTTTCAATAGTTCTTCAGATGTATTAATAATAATCTGCTGAGTATAGGCAGCAATTCTGGTCATCCAAGGAGCATTATCATTGCCGATATTTTTCTTGATCATTTTGAGTACATTGCGCAACAAGGAATTCATGTGATCGGCAGTAACCATAGTTACATGATTGCCACTTGTAGGGCTGACATTATCAGGTCCTTGAGACCACCAGAATGGAAGGTAGGAACATAACAAAGGCAAAATAACATCAATGATGTGAGGTGCATCATTGTATGTATTATCAGATTCCACAAATTGGTCTACTTCTCCTAGAATTGTTTCCAAATTTGGCATGCAACTTTCCATTTTCACCATTATATCTTGCGCCTCCAGGGAGTGATCGGCTATACGATTAAGCAAAGAAAATTGATTGTGCTTATTAAGGTGAGGTTCCAAATAAGCTACTGGGAAACAAGAACTAAATGCTCCCAAACAAGAACCTAGAGCTGGACGATGCCTTTCGATTTCAGTTTTCAAGTATTTGCGCTCATGCGTTAAGGTACCATCTGTTCCCAAATGGTACAGTGCAGCTAGAATTTTATAAGATGCAACTTGAATTTCATCCAACAACAAGTCACTGCCATAGTCACATGCTGCTAAATGATCAAACATGGCTGTTAAGACCGGCATAACGACTTGATTAATGTAACCCAGCGATGTTGACGTCTTTAGATGAGTTCCTCTCAGATGACTGTATTTGCCATCTTGCAAATTAAGAATTGTGTTTCCTAAATCATCAGCGGTTTGATTGAAGAATGTCAACATGGATGTTCGTATAAACTCGGGACAATTCTTTACTAAAGTTCTGGCATCAATTCCTTTCACCAACACTTGAAGACAACGCACAGTAATGCGTACATCTGGACCAAAAGCGCTCAATCTGTTACGTAAAAGTGACGCTAATTTGCAGAAGATTGAAGCTACCATTTCTTTTTCCTTTAATGATGCAGCTCCCACATTATTAGTGGCCGTAGCAACAGCAATGAAATAGTTTCGATGTGTGGAGAAGTATTTTTCCATCAATGGCAGAACGACTTTCGAGAAGAATTTGATATCGCGAGACGCGGTCTTGAATGAAGTGCGTCGACTGAACGTTGTAGAAGGTTTCAATAATTTCATATTAATAGTAGCTCTGTCCACGTATTGAATTAGCTTCTCCAATAAGGAATAAGAGAATCTTAATTCTACAGCTGTAGTAGCAGCACCTCCTTCACCTTCAGCAACACCACCCTTAGATGGTCTAAATATACATAATAATAATGGCGTATTTAAATTGCTTGACCCTAATATCAAATGTAATGATGTAACTTACTTGTGCAATTTGTAGCCTTGATATTGCATATACTTTAAGAATTCCTGGGATCTCTCACGATCTTTGCGTTTCTCTTTGTCTGTTAACAAATCATAAGGCACAAGTTGGGCATGAATAACACCACCGCAGGAATCCAATTCTTCCTTCTTCTTTTTGGCCCAAATATCGTGCGAGTTTTCTGCCAAACGCTCAGCCATATTCTGCATTTCTCTGCTTAGTGTGAGATTTGTCATATCGACAGGATGTGGATTGTAATTGAAAGCACTTCCTTCGTTCTGAAAATCATGCTGTTGTTAAAAAATATTTACACAAATAATGGCGTGGACAAAGGGGATTTAAGACGATGTACATTTGGGGAACGGACATGCAATTGTAAGAAAAAATATTAAAAATTTTGTGTTATTTCAATATTGCCAATTTGAAGGGGAGTTTCTTAAAGCTTTACACATACAATTTGAGGCTTTGATTGACGTCTGGTAGAACCACGGTGATTTTGAGGTACTTCAATTTCTGAATGTTCAATGGTCCAACCTAGAGCAAGAAGAGCTTTCAAGCATTCTCTTACTGGATCTCTATAACGTTCACGTTCCTATCATTAAAGTAATAAAATATTAATAAATGTTTGAAAATATAAAATACATTTTTAGAATTAATATCAAATAGTGAAATAATTTCACTTAAGTATTTTAAATCAGATATTGAACATACGTATTCGGTTAACATATTATAGGGTTTAAGTCTAGGATGTTTACGATCACTATCAGAACGTATTTCACCGTAAGTCCATCCGCTCTCTAAACGGCGACTGGCCCAAGCATCATGATAATGTTCGCTAAACTTCTGCACCAAAGAATTATAATCGTTGGTTAAATTAACGCTGACTGTATCAATTGGGTTGGGGTCGTATTGTGGTTGATCGGGGGCGCCGGATTGACGACCATAATAATCTTCGTCGGTGTTTTTGGATAAACTGTAGTCCGGTGGCAAAGCACATCCAATTGCAATCAAACATGGCAACGCTTTACCAAACAATTCAGGATCGTAATCCATGTTGCTGAGTGAGTCAAATATGTTAGAGAACAGGAGCATAGTAAGACGTTTTTCTTCATCAGACGATGCTCCATAAGAGCCTTGACCTTGACTGGAGCCATAATATTTGGCACAACGATCGAAGTGTAATGTAAGGAGCTAGAGGGAAGGAAACAATGTTAAAATATTAATATGAAAAATTCAGTACACAGAAAAAATAACTCATTAAATTTTAAAGATTTACAAATTCAAATAAATTTATTTTTTCTGTGTATGTATGTGCGGTTCAAAAATACATACCCTCAAAGCCACAGTCGTGTATTCGGATAATTTTGAGACATCAACTGTCAACTTGCGTAAGAGTTTCAACAACATTGCAGGTTGCATTTGTGATGTCAAAGCCACCAAAAAGTCAGAGACAGCTTCTCTTTGGCCCTTAGTAAGCATACGGTTCTTAGACAATCTATAGACCGTGTGCAGTGTTGCATCCAATAGGCTGGCATAATTTTCTGCCTCATTGTAGAATTTAGAATGTTTAATTAGCAGTGGCAATATTGAGTTGCCAATGTAGCGATTCATTGAAAGAGCCATATCACTTTCTGAGCCATCACTTTTATCTAAAATGGTGGCTGTTCTCAAATCAGGCAGGAACGCATCCTCGAGTAGACGATAGAAGAGCTCCTGTGTTTCTATGCCATAGACACGTTCCAAGAAAAGAACGATGCTTTGTTTGTTATTGGGCAATAGGCCCGAGGGCATGTCAGACTTTGGCCTTTCCTCTCCCGGTGCAGTTTGAGTGAGTGTGAACTTTAAGCTGAGGACACCTTGAAGATCCTCCAGTGGCACAAGAGATCTCAAAATAGCTCTAGCTCTTAATGATTCATTTTTACCTTGTTCTATAACCGAGACGTCGGGTGCACATCTACCGAGAAGATCCACTAAGGTACAATAGAAGTTCAAGATAGCAGCACCAGTATCAATGTAGTCCTCGTCCTCTTCGCCTTCGGGTAGAGGATGCGAGAAGTTAAGGCCAGCAATAGTGCCTTCGGCTTCGTCTTGCATTTTGCAGCGGTCAGATATCCGTTCAGACATACGATTGGCCTCAACTATAGCACGGAATAGACCTTCTCCTTCTCCTCTTAGAGCCGGCCCTAAACATTCTGGACGTCGGATAAGAAGACGAATGACAAGGTTGGCGTTTTCTTCAACACTTTCACCATTTACCCAAACGCAGTAACGTAAAAAGTCCAAATAGCGTTCGCCTTCTACTGGATCCCAACCTAAGTCAGGATAGCCCTTTTCGACGAGCTCGGAGTTACTTTGCAAACCGCAGCGCGAAAGATAAACGGCAATTTTTTCTAAATAGTGTTCGCGCAAGGCCAGAGCTAGTTCTGTGTTCTCCATTAAACTTGAGTATGCCACATCTAGAGGAGTAGAACCGCGTAAGCTGGGTCTAGCGAGTAAAATGTTCGCGTTGTCTAGCAAAAAGTCAAAGTGATCGAACATGGCTTTTTGATTTTGTCTTCCAGTCCTACAGAAATAACAGAGGAAACGACAGCAAGCCACCACCATTTCATGAGAGGTATCCTTCTCCTTAGCTGGTGCTCCTTCCGCTCCCTCTGATTGAGCTGGGGCGTCACTTTGGGCTTGAGCTCGTCGACCTAGAGTGTTCATCATGACAGCCATTACGTTCTCATGAACTCTGAGAATACGTATCAAATCGGGATGTTGGAAGAATGTAGCATTGTTAACTAACTTCCACAATCGCTTCCTCATTAATTCTTCCTCTTCTTGACTCATTTGAACAGGAAGCAAAGCGCGGATTTGGCTTAAACCAACCCACATTTCAGCCACATCTTCTCGGGCTTTATTATTGATGACATATGTTTTTTCAAGAGCTCTCACCAATTCACCCACCGTGTCGTACTGCCTAACAAGAAGGCTAAACATTTCACGCACCAATTTGGGGGTTTCAATTTGTGATTCCTCAGCCCAACTAACAATTGTTTTAATTAAAACTTTACGGAACACTTCTTCGGGAGTTTTCTTCTCAGGTTCCTCAACTTCTTTGGGACCTTCTTCAAGTTCCTTCACAGTGTTAATGAAATTGTATATCTTTGTAATTGGACCCGTTTTGACCTCTTCGATCGCATTGCTTTCTGGTTCGTCCGGCTCCTGCAAAGCATTTAGTGACACTTTTTTCATAAGAGAATCATGGAAATCGTATAAACGTCCACGCAAATCCAAGCCACAAGTACAATTTTCATGATCATCTGGTTCCAGATTCTTAAAGCAAAGAATCTGGTTCATTTGTTCTCTTGGTGGACAGCGGAATTCTTTTGTTTTCTTGGCTGCGACAGCACTTGGAAGATCGGATTGTTTGATTTCTATATAGCGACGCAATTGATCTGCTTGAAGATCACCCACAAAGTCATGTGAGAATGCAATAATGCTTTCCACGCGATGTCTAAGTTGAATGTCATAAAGATGATGAAGTAAATAGCACATTTGCAGTTTGGCGCCTTCCGCCATCTTCATGGTTAAAAGGCCTTTACGATGTTCATCTTTTCCATCTAAAATCAAATTAATTAAAAGTGTCAATTTCAAATTATTAACATACTCAATGAATGATTTACTACTCACCTTTTTCAAAGCTAGGATCCCACGTTTCTGGATCGATCATAACCAACAACTTTTGAACGTCATCGTCGGTCATGACACCCACTAATAACAAACGATCGGTAAGCTTTAAAAGGGGCCTAAAAACATGCAAATTCTTAAGTCGTCTTACCTTGGTCATTTATAATACAATGTTTGGTGATTAACTTACAAGAAAAGGTTTTCATTCGTCCATCCTATAGGATCTCTATTGTGCACTTGATTGATCTCAACGGCCTCCTGTAATGCCTCCATAACAAATTCGCGCACTACTTCTAAGGGGAACTTCGGGGAGTATAGATGATCGATGTCTGGTATTGGTTCACTGGAAACATTTTGTATGCTAGTTGTATGGGTACTCATAGGTGTGCTACGATAATAATGTGCACGGAATATGGAATTTTGTGATGGGCAAGTTTTGTGTGTGTGCATTGGTATGTATTGTCCGGTCATTTATTTGCGCGTGAAAGGTGCAATGAATGAATTGCGGGTGAGATAGCATGCATAAATGAGAAAGAATATAAAGAAGAACATTTGGACATTGTTGATAAAAATGAAAGTGATAGATGTTGTCCTACTGTAGTATTTATATGTGCATGTCAGGAGAACTACAAGTGTTTACTGTGTTTTGAGCAAGATACAGTGTTGTGGACATATATGTAGATCAAGGCGGGACGTGACATGGACACATAACACTAACAACGTAGTGGAGCACAAAATCTACTTTCTCTGGTTTCTTTTTTATCTGACAAGCAAGTCAAGTACAAATCAAGCATAGCGACATAGTGACACGTTCCAATTAAAAATAAAAAATGATTTAGCACTAAACTCCTTATAATTTAGACGATTGTGACGAAAGTCTATATAGTGCTCCACTGCTTTCAATAAAAAAGTGGAGAAAAATATAAAAAAAGCCTTAAATACTCACGTTATTTCTGTCATGCGCAAATGAGGCTGAACTGATTCGGTAATCAATGACCTCAAGGAATGACACATTTCCTCATCTTCGTAGAGGAATTTAAGTTCCGGCCCTAAAGGAATGATATATTCCATCTTACAAACCTCCATTGTGGTGGCATGCGATTCCAAATGCAATGCAATTAAAAGGTCATAAAAGCCCTGACGTAGCGGTCCACTCATATATTCGGAACGTATAGCATACAACAGTTGCTTCTGATCAACATGTTGACATAAGGCATGAGCAGCTCTATAATTGGACTGATAGCAGAGAGCAGCATACAAGGTAAGTGAATGGGCATGGAAGGATAGTAGTTTATCCATTTCTATCAATTCTAAAATGTCAATGCAACGATCTTCCTCAGGGATGTGTAGGGCTAACATAGAGACTGGATCTTCACAAAGCATTGACCAGCCTCGTATGTCGGATAGTTTTAGAGCATGCACTTGCAGTGCTGTATTGGGCACACGTGCCCATTGATGAGGACGAAGACATTGGACCTTTAAACGAGGTGGGGACTGTGGATTGATATGTTTGTCACTTGTTGGCAAGACAGCAGCTGAAAGAGGCAGTGTTGTTGCTGTACGTCCCAATTCAATTTGCAAAATTTCTTTGCTAGTGGCTTCAACGAAAATAGCTGGGAATAGTTTAGTTCCTGGTTCCATCTTCCAACGATGTGAAGTTTCCTTTCCTTCACATGTAAAACTTATCATGCCCGTAGCGGTGTCGACGAAACATCCAACAAACATGCCCTGTGATGCTCCCTTACCTGAAGCATCCTGAGTTACTTCATTAAAGAGTTCATCGGCACGTACGACATAGCAACTTTGGCGATTAATGCGTTCAATGGGCATTTCATAATCATCTTCAATAATTACGGAACCTCTTCGCACCTTATCCTTGTTAAATTCTTTGCTATGTAAATGATATTGTGTGGTTACCCAACCTACATATACATGGGTGGGATCTTGACCAGGGAATATACGAACGCCATAAAAGTATTCGTTGATAAGTTTTAAACATTCGCTATCAAACATTTCATTGCCTGAAGATTCAACCGATGGCTGTCCCAGAGCACCGCCACTAAGTGCTTTTGGTCCCTGTTGTACGGGGGTCTGAGGCATTTCCGTCTGTAATGGTTAGAAGTAATAGTTATGTATGCCAGTTTCATTATGGTATTAAAAATACTTACATTGTTTAAACGCAATGTAGGAGCTTTAGTAGTCATTTGAGCATTAACCACATTACGACCATGGGCAACGGTGTTACGTCTTTCCATGCTTACTTCAGGAGCACGGCCAGGCATTTTTTCTTTACTTTGATCGCGCGATTTTTTGGAGAAGAACTTAAACGGACTACGACCGCGCTTCTTCTTATCGTCCATCATGCTTTCATCCATTCCATTCATATCAAGCGCAGACGTGGAGCGTTGTAGTTCCTCTGGGGCTCCCAAATCCGACTCAAAGGTGATATTGCGTGAAACAGAACTTCTACGTGGTGGTCGGGCAGGACTATGCATTTCGTCAGCCTCAGCTGTATCATCGAAATTGCGATTTAGGCCCTTAATGTCGTTCATTGTAAAACCACTCTTCAACATATGATCCATATGGGCTGATGTTTGTTGCTGCTGTTGTTCTTGAGCATCACGCATCAGACGATATTGTCTAATTTTAATTTCCTCCCAACGTCTGGCCTTCTCCGCTTCAGTAATAAATTCACTCATACAAGTGACCGGCAGGGAAAGACGTAAAAACTCCCAGTTGGCTTTTTCCATGGTCTCAAAAGTATTGTGGGAAATTTTCAAATGAGGTGGTGTATCAGCTCCACCAGGAATACGTGTCACATCAATACGACAGTCAGGCATCTCTTCTGTATTTTCGAATATTGGCTGATCCTTGGTATACCAATGGGTAACAGGGCGTCGCATATTGCTATAAGTATATAAATTAGAGGCACTCTTAAAATTATTTTGACGCACTCTAAATACTTACACGCAGAAAGGTTCATAACCTTCCTGAAGACCACAAGTAGTGAAAAACTTGAGAGAATCTACGTCTTGACCATAAATTAAGCGAGCCTTTTGACCCACACCCAATGTACAGGCTGGTACAAAACCTACACCTTCTGCAGTAACTTCGGCAAAAGTCGTCTCTCCGCCCAACGCATCCATTAGGAGTTCACCGTTTAGCGAGAAACCTGTATAGAAAGGCAATTAGTTTGATCTCTTGATTGCAAATGATCTAGATACACGCATGTGAGCACAATAAACGAAGCATGTGGATGCCATTCTAGATTTTTTTTGGAAACATGCTCATCTTAGATGGCCGTTTTCAATTGTTTGAAGTATTTTATACATACTATGGTATTTATGTATGTATGTACGAGTAAGTGTGGCATGGCAGAGATTTTTTTTACTAATTGCAAATTGTGTTATTATTTAGTTAGTCTATAAAGCAATCAATCAATTAATTTATTTAACTCATGCGCTAAAAACATAAAAAATAAATAAGACTGGCGTTATAATGCGATAAAAACGGTTAGTGTATCATTGAACAATATCTTGAAGGAATTTGCTTTAATTCTCATTCCAAGCATTTAAATTATTTAAATTTAATATTAGTGTTTAAAAATATGTTGTAATGTATTAGTTTTATCTGCAGCTTGATTTTGTTCCTAAAATGGATTTAAAACATGCTTGAAGCTGTAAAATGTTGTGATTTTTATATCGCAAACATGGGATAAAATAATGGATCTATGTATATTGAAGTAGAAATAATCCAAAAAATTTTAAAGTTTTTAGTCAATTTTTTTTTATATTAAATTTACCGTTAAAATTTTTAAATAATTAAGAAGGAATAATACTGAATAGTGCAATAATTTCTTATTTCAAATGCTTATCTGAACCCCCCACCAAAATATGAGTCGTGTGAGAAACTAGTATTAATATAAGATCCAGTTTCAATACATTTTATATAAAAATATTTACACGATTGACCCGATTTAAATAATTTTATATGTATGATCTAGAATAGAAACAGAATAAAACTAGAACAGAAATGATCAATAATAGAACTAAAATAGAACTAGAACTAAACTAGAACTGAACTAGAATTGAACTAGAACTGAACTAGAACTGAACTAGAACTGAACTAGAACTGAACTAGAACTGAACTAGAACTGAACTAGAACTGAACTAGAACTGAACTAGAACTGAACTAGAACTGAACTAGAACTGAACTGAACTAGAACTGAACTAGAACTGAACTAGAACTGAACTAGAACTGAACTAGAACTGAACTAGAACTGAACTAGAACTGAACTAGAACTGAACTAGAACTGAACTAGAACTGAACTAGAACTGAACTAGAACTGAACTAGAACTGAACTAGAACTGAACTAGAACTGAACTAGAACTGAACTAGAACTGAACTAGAACTGAACTAGAACTGAACTAGAACTGAACTAGAACTGAACTAGAACTGAACTAGAACTGAACTAGAACTGAACTAGAACTGAACTAGAACTGAACTAGAACTGAACTAGAACTGAACTAGAACTGAACTAGAACTGAACTAGAACTGAACTAGAACTGAACTAGAACTGAACTAGAACTGAACTAGAACTGAACTAGAACTGAACTAGAACTGAACTAGAACTGAACTAGAACTGAACTAGAACTGAACTAGAACTGAACTAGAACTGAACTAGAACTGAACTAGAACTGAACTAGAACTGAACTAGAACTGAACTAGAACTGAACTAGAACTGAACTAGAACTGAACTAGAACTGAACTAGAACTGAACTAGAACTGAACTAGAACTGAACTAGAACTGAACTAGAACTGAACTAGAACTGAACTAGAACTGAACTAGAACTGAACTAGAACTGAACTAGAACTGAACTAGAACTGAACTAGAACTAGAACTGAACTAGAACTGAACTAGAACTGAACTAGAACTGAACTAAACTAGAACTGAACTAGAACTGATCTAGAACTAGAACTAAACTGTAACAGGACTCCTCCCTAGAATTCCTTAAATAGAAAAAGATATTTAAAAATTAAATTTTTTCGTCGGTCCCAAAAAGATGGTCGTTCTTTTTGAAGTCCTTAGAATCAGTGACATGTGTTGTGTATGTATAATGTAAACAGGTTAGTAATCGATAAAGCCTGAAACATTGGGATCCTTAAAACCTTTATTCAATCAACTAGCTCAGGAGTTAAAAGTGGCAAAAGAATTTTATATTATTAAAGGGAAAAAATAGAGAAAAATTCTCAACGTTAAATTTTAATAACTGGGTAGATAACTAAGCAGATCATTGGAGTTTATATCAAATATTCGGGGAGAATTTGAATTTAGTATTAAATATCAAAAGCAGGGAAAGTGAGATATACAAAGAAAATATATATGCACGTTTATATTTATTTATATTAAGAAAATTATATTTATAGTAGAATATTATTATTAAGGTATAGTTTACGAATATATATCTACACTTTGAAGACATTCAATAGAAAAGTTTTCTTACTGATTGTATGATCGGCTAGATCTAAGAAAACTCCAACTATATCGCCTGGACCACATTGTTTACCGAAAGATTCACTTACGCCACCAAATACTTTTTCTTCCTACATTTGTTTTACATATAGATTGTTTGTAGTTGTAGTTGTCATTTTATATACATGATGATTAATTAACAGATTAAAAATTATTTTAAAAAAATTAAATAAGTCAAAATTAATCAAATAATTTGTAAATGCTTAAAATAAAAAAGCTCTATAAGAATAATATTTAAAAAAATGCTTAGAAACTGTTGCGCGAAAAAAAGAGCACAGTTCAAAATTGTTTATCAAAATACAAAAATATAAAACAATTAGTCAAACGCAGTTTATTTTCGTAACTAGAAAAATTATATATGTTTTAATAAAAATTAAGTAACGCTCGCAGCTGTAACAGTAGTTTAATTCTTATGATTCTTACTGATGGTTTGTTCCTTGACATCGATAAAACAACCGATAACATCGCCAGCTTCATAACGAACACCAAAATGTTCAACAGTTCCAGCATGCAATTTGGTAACCTAGATTTATTTATTTGAGCATAAATTGTATTTTTTGATCCTCATTAAGATTTACAAACAAAAATAATACATTGATTTTCTATTTCGTTTTTTTATTTTTTCGGCGCAAATGAAGGGATAAGTAATTTAATAAGAATGAAATATATTTGAACAAAAATATTATTCAAGTTTTCACAGTGGGGGACAATTGAAAATATCTCAAATTATTTGGTTGTTCTAGTACTTAACATACATATATCAAATCGGAAGTTAAACTATAATTCGAGGTTGGGATAACGTGTCTTAGAGAACAAATCTTAGCAACAGGGAATATTTATGAAAATTATTGGGCTCTAGATAATTCCGTTTAGGTCCTATCATGTTTTTAACAGACATACAAAGGGAAGGACATGTATATCGTTTTAGAATTTAATAAGGACCTTTGTGGATACATATATCGATGTGTTACAAATTAAATAATAATCAATATGTACTTATGCACAACGGGACAACTTATATGCTGTAGTTAAATTTCTAAGTTGTTAGTAGTTTCAGATTTTATTCCTAGAATATACTGCTTATGTATAGTGAAAGAATATCTGACAAGACTGCGTTAAGATATCTTCCTTTCGACTTTTTCGACGAAAAGATAAAAATAGCATCCCCAAAAGACTTCGTGAGATCGCGATTCTCAATTTTAATCATTCTCCTTCCTTTATGTTTAATCGTCCCCATTGTGAAGACTTGAGTTTATAAATTAATAATGATAATAATAATGATCGAATAAAAATTAAATATTTAGTGGTTTTAAAAGAAGGAAAGGGAATGAGTTTATTTAATAGAAAACTGAAATTATTTAAAAACGTTCATATAAAATACCATTGACCCCTTCTATTACACCTCTTAATATTAATTTTGTAATATTAAACTTCCATATATCTACATTATCCCTTCATAACATTTAACAAAAAATCACCTTTCCGTAATAACAAAAAATAATTATAAATAAAATCGAAAATAATACTTTCCAATATAAAATCAGAAAAGAATTTACAAAACTCAGAAGCTTCTACTTACATTGTGACCATCAAAAGCCCAACTGGTGTCTTCACTACCCAACATAGAACCTGGATTACAATCGGCTCTGGCCCAACCGACGCGCATTGGTCCAGAGGTAAGAACCTCGAATTCAAAATACCATTTACCCGAGGTAACAGCATAATTGCGTTCCACACGATAAGTACGGAAGGCTGCAAATTTAAGTCTCAAAGCCTCGGCCAATAAAGCCTCATTGCCTTCGCCTGTGGGGGGATCCAAAACATAACCGTAAACGAGTAGAGTACGTACTGTTTCGGAAGCAGTATCACGATTAGCTTTCTTAATGGCCTCATCAACCTTAGAATAGGGCACTAAATGAGGACTGCGTAAATTTTCGGAGTCCTCATTGAGACCATATGTCCAGCCCTGTTGTATGCGTTCTCTGGCCCAAAGATTGTGTGTATTTTCGGCCAACTGATCTACAAGTTCCTCTAATTTTGGTGTTAAAGTAACAGCACTTAAATCCAGAGGAGCTGGCTTATAACCATTAGCTTGCATGAAAATCTCGTTGGGCAGACGTATGGGACGTATACGTGCTGGAGGTTTATCCATGGTTATATAATAACCCAATGCAATAATGGTTCTAAAAAATGTTCAACAATAAGATACAATTATTTCAATTAAGTATCATATCTACTCACTTTAATGTTTGTACAGCCAATTGGTTGTCGTAACGTTTCTCGGCAGGAGGTAATTTTTCAAATTGTGTTAAACATGGATGTATACGATGATAATCATCACGATGCTCACCCCAAGACCAACCGGCCTCAATTTTATTGAGGGCCCACATTTCATGTATATTTTCCGCCAACTTCTCTTTAATTTGATCTACTGAAGAGGGCAATGAAACTCCCGATGTATCTACTGGCTTTGGCACAAATGCATTATCGTCCTCTATCATCCAGGGACCGGCTAAAACATTTTTACTTAAGTTACCAAAATAAAAGCAAGGATCCAAACTCAATATTTGATGAGGCATTAAACACTGCACCAAAGGAGAAAATCCTGGTGGTGGGTTGAATTTTAAACGACCATGATCACCACCAAACAAAAAGCGGCAACTAAAATTTTTTTAATTGAATATTAAAGTAACATTTGTGGAAATATTACGAAATTACCTTAATTTGGAAGAACAACTCATAACGGGGAAAAACATGCCATCTAAATTAAAGTCCCGGAAGGAACCCTTAACTTTAAGGCCATTGAAGGTAAATGTAATAACTGGCACTGACAAGTCAATGGTAACACCAACAACATCACCTTTGCGTATAAAAGGTTCTTCGGGTACACTATCCATAACCAAGGTTTTATGGCCTCCGGTCCATAAATAAGCACCATCGAAACCAAAGGAATACAAATCATCACCAACACCATTACCACCCCATTTTTTGCCACCACCCGGATAAGGTACATAGCTAAAAGTACAGATACACATTAGAGTCTTGCAGATACAAAATTAAAATCATCTCTTTTATATAAATTACCCGGAAGTATTCGCCCAACCAATGCGCAAGTGAGGCATCATATGAGTGGTTTGTTCAATATGGTCCATGGTTACTTCAAAGTACCACCTTTGATACATGGCCGAGCCTTCTACGCGACCCACAAAAATATTTGGTCTAATACTGGCTACATGATCAACCAGTTGTGTCTGCAGCAATAGATTCTTGCCAGGCAATAGAAAATCACAAATGTTATTTTGTGAAGAACGTACCGCAACACCATTACCCACACACAGTGAGCATAAAACATCCAAGACCTTGGGATCTCTGCCGTGTTTTTCCAACAGTGAAATAATAACTTTAATGTGTTCATCACGCATCATGTTCAAAGCTTCGGGGGAATCAATCAAAACACAATGTAGTACATCCAACATACCAGAACCCTCACTGGAAGCCTGAGAACCCAAGCGAGAAAAAAGCCAATTCAAACGATTGCTATTGGCAAATTGGGCACAATTGGTGTGGTTGCCTTGGATAATAGCGGCCAACAATTGATAGAGATAAGTGGAAATTAAATCCCAACTTTGGCCAGTCTCATCACCAGCCAAAAAGCTGGCCAAAAAGCCTTGTGATGTTATGATATTAATTTTATCAATGGCTTCCAAGATTAAATTTAAAACACCTTCTTCCTGGAATAGATCCTGACGATTACGCAGAGCACGAAAACGATTTTGTTTCTCCTCGTGTTCTGTTAAAGATATAATGTTAATAAAAATAGTGTAAATTTGTTATTAAATGTAAAAATCTTACCCATGTCATCTGGTGGCTGAGAGAAATAGTTTATCAAATCTTCTAGGCACATTACCATTTCGTTGAGATTGACTTTTTGGAAGAATATCGAATGACGACGATTCGATTGTAAAGTTTCCAATGCGCTAAAAATTAAAATAAATCCATGAGCCACAAACTAATTAATTAAAGAAAACTCCACACTATTTTTGCAATAATATGTAAGTTTTAAATATATATTAATTTCAGAATTAAGATACACAATGTTAAATATCAGGACATTGTATCAAGGACACTATTACACCAAATCATTAATGTTCAAAACATCCTAAAAATAGAAAAATCTACTTTGCATTTGATCGTTTACGATAACTATGTTTTATATTCGGCCTTAAACTTTTTCTCATTTGATTTGGTACAATTTTGCCGCTTTCAACTTCCTTTACATTTACATCAACATACTTAATAAATTGTGTAAAAAGACTGCTACATTTACGAATAACACGAGCAGTTTTCGATTCTTCCTCCTGCGATCTCGAGAAATCCAGACAATCATCCATTTTGCCTTCTTCGTGCAGAATGGCTTGTTTCTCTTCAACTTTGCCGACACCCTTCTTTTTCGTTTCATAACTCTTGTAACTGAGCCACAGACCACTCTCACAATGCTGGACTATAACGGTGGTATCACCATACTTGATGATGGGTGAACCAATAACTTCTAAATCTTTATCTTCGAGTACTTTTTTCTCGTCGTCCTTTTCCACCCGTAGGCAGAAAGTCGTTGTAGCAATAGCTGCTTCTTCCTTTTTAACCTGGAAATAGGGGAAATAAAAGTAGAAGAAGTTTTTGAGAAATCGCTGTATATGTAAGAAGAATTTTCAATATTTACCAAAATCAATTCGTTATTATCGTTGACGCCTAAATAGCGTCCAGTTGTGATATGTCGGATACGCATGGGATGGAACCAATTTATAAAACCGCCAGTCCATTTAGTGCGTGCCAATTCAAGACGCCACAGGGAACGAGCCTGGGACATTACCGAACCACCTTCATACACAACAATGCTGAAAAATTAAAGAAATATTATAAATTTAGAGGTGAATGCAATACGATGTCAATTGGAAAATTCCGTTACATTTTGAAATTCCCAAAAATGTAAAAATTTGCACCAACTTCGTGGCTTGATAAAGTGCATAAGTAGAATCATTTTGGTTGTAATAAAATGGCCGTCATGCCAAAAATCTTTAAAAAGCTTGATCGATTGGAGAATGAAAGTATAGTAATCTATTTGGGTATCACAATTGTACATTGATCACTCTATCAAAAGCTCAATAAAGGGCTCTTGATTGTGTTTAAATGAAATTGTCAAATATGACCAAAATCTCGAATACACTGGATTCCGATGGAATTAGCACTAAATACCGATATATGCCAGACCGTGTTCTTGAAGATTCCATAAACGCGCAAACTTTACCAAGGAGAAATGAAAACTAGTGACAATATTGAGTATTGGTATCCCAAAATGTCTTTCCATAATCTCGGAAAACACGAGCTTCCCTATGTGTACGGATGGCTATAAATGGGTGGAATGTGTAGAGGGATGCGTTTGCATCAGAATAACTTTGAGAATGCGATACGAGTTTAGCAAACTTCTGGCTAAAATATCTTCCATATGGCCAACGTTAAAAAGAGAACGTAGACATATCTTGGAAGATATGGCTAAGTCGATCTCAACTTAGCAGAACATGTTAAATTTTATATTCTTACAAGGAGACTTGGATTACCCTAATAATGACTTCTGTAGAAGTTTTCATGATGAAGATTAATCAATTGAACACTTCGTTCTGAGTTCTTAGGATAACGACTCTCTGATGACTTATCGGAGTTATATAATATACAGTCCATCAAACCTAATCATAGTTGTGTTCAATCGCTAACTTTTAAAGAGCCTTGGAAAACTTGTCAGTATTTGCGAGTATTTTATAGGTAAACATAGAAATCATAATGGCTCCACTTTTTGTTAAACAATCTTCAGTACTTACTTCTGTCCGGCTTCTCGACCCCAGGTACTCGGTATAGTTAAACATTCATCACCGCCGTGGAAAAAGCGTAAAACATCACCACCAAATACATAACCTACATACTTCATACGTGAGATACCGGTACCATATGGTTGCACTGACCAATGAGTCACATGGAAACTGGCATTAACAATGGACTGTTCATTTTCTTTGGTTGTATGCTAAAACCCACCGGAAAAAAACTCAAATTAAACTATGTTAATTAAATGTGATAATTTATTACTCACCAAATAACGTTCTGTTGCTACCGAAACTAAAATTAAATCATCACCTACACGGACTTTCTCACCCTCTGAACGTTGTTTACTGGCTGGATGTACAGTCCACCAACAAGCCTCGCCTTGGCTGTGCTCTTGCAGACCCACATCAAATGACAATTTATCGTTGGAAGACGAGGTGGAAAGACAAGCCAAATACTATTTAAACATTATTGTACATTGTTGTAGCAACAGTTGAAGTTAGAGAAACATTTAGTGGAATAAAAACGAAAAACAAAATAAAATAAATGTCCACAGAGATAAGGATATCAATTCAATTGTCAAGGATTATTTTCTAAATATGTACATAAGTTACATTTGATATGTAAACTAAATAAACGAAAACATACAGAAACATTTTTATAGTGCTTGCTGTATGATGATGATGATGATCTTACCATGTCACTGTTGTTATGGCGCAATAAGATGGCATTACCATAGAGTAAAGTTCTATGACCGGATCCAGTACCTTTGCCCTGTGCAAATAAATTTGTAATGCAAAGAAGAGATAAAGAAAAGAAAGAAAAGAACGAACAAGTTTCAATATTATTACATTTGTATCAATATTATCAATACCAGAGCATTAAAAGAATTCCATTTCCAGTTGAAAAACAAATGACATTTTGAATTCCTTATAAAAAAATTTCAAAGGTTTCGATGGATATATGATGAAGGTCACAAAATCAGTATAAAAACTGATCATCATAATACACCTTGAAATTGCCATAATATGTATATTTCATGAAGATGTAATTCTTTGAAGCTCTGATAAACGTAGTTTTAGCTTTTTCTTTTATTTGCTTGCTAGTGTTTGTATTTGTGTGAAACATATCTAACAAACGAAAAAATTAAAAAATAGTACTACAAGACAACTGACTGAGTATGTGTGTGTGTGTGTATAGATTGTGTTTGTATGTAAGTGTGCGTGAGTGAATAAGAGTGAGTGTGAGAATGTCACTGTTTATGTCAAAATGCTATTTTGGGTGCTGTACACTTCTTCTTAAAGTTTATTTACATTGATGTTAAATTGTTAGTTTTTATGTAATTGAGGTTAGGAGACGGGTTCACATTATTCTTTTGATTTTCATCTTAAACAAAATGTTTAAAGTTCAAATCGATTTAAAATGTTAAACATTTGGGTTAATAAAACATATAACACATACTTTCATACATATAAAAAAGTTAAAGTTTTAAAGCTAGATATCGTGACCTGGAGTAAAACTTAACTACAAAATATTTTTATTGGTGTTAGATTCATTTTGCGAAGTTTCTTAGCAAAAAGAGACTATTACTTAGTAATGCAATTATTTTACATAATTAATAAGATATTATTTAAATAACACAAATTACTGTCTAATTGATAAGGACTTGTGAAAAAATTTGTATCCTGTAAACCAAAATCGTTGTCTTTCAAATATATTGTTACATCATAAAAACTCCTGTTACAAGTCACAGTTGGTAAAATGGGAAATCCTGGGAATATCAATTATCGGCAATGATTAGTTTTAAACATGGATCATGATTTTGAACGTAAGACATTAAATATTTATGCAGTGTCCTATTGCAAAATATAACGAATATTATGTTATCATTTGGATTATGATAACAAATTTTTGCATGTTTCTTGTGCTAATGGAAAATCTGATGCATGTTATTACTACTCCAATTATTATTCCGTGAACCTGCTGCAGTTAAGAGTAATAAGATGCTAGTAGTTCCTCAGTAAGAGTTCTTCAAATGTGTCTGACCAGATTGGAACCTTCGGGATTATATGGTGGCTCTAGTTGAACACGTTTAGGGAAAATAATGATGGCTTTAAATCGGATGCACGGGCTAGTGGCGTATTTGGGGCTGTCAAATATGTTTCTATGTATTATTGCTAAGTAACGTATAATAGCACAGAAGAGTGACTGTTCGACTTTAGTCGAGGAATTCTAGTTTCTGGCAACGTTATTTACATCGGAGGTCTTTACGGTCTCTGGTTGTATGCTGAAGCACTGCTAGTAGACAGTAATTGACTCTTCAGTTATAGTTCAGTAAGAACACTTTCCTACATAGATTATTCATGTAGCTTGTAAGCTTTAGCAAAGTATCCAATATATAAATTACCACCTGCAGTAATTTTGTAAAGCTCAAAGGTATTCGTGAAGAGTTTAGGGTGATAGACATGTACTCACGTTTGGCATTAATAACACAGGTCGACAAAATTTTAAAAAGTCGAAATCTTGAGACCAATTTAGACGTTTCTAAAGGATTGAGTCGTGCTGAATCCGAATATATCCTCAATCTTTCTCCATCACATCTGGGATTTTAGGATCCTTTTGAGACGACTTTATTTATAAAATATACCATCTGAAAGTCCACTCTGTCACAACTTTAAAATAAATGGTTAATATCTGACATATCTTCTTTATTCTTTGAGATATCTTGACCTAAAGTTATCTTGGCGCTGTTATAACGTCTCAAAAAGGACACGATATCTCAAATCTTAGGTGTGATGTAGAAAGTTTGAGGTCATATTCGGATCCAGCACGACACAATCCTTTATAAACATTTAACTTCAGCACATCACCTTACGGTTGTCGTTCTAAACGACTGAGAGTCCTAAGCTACCAGAAAAGCCGATCGAATACTGAAAACAGAAATTGCCGGGAATTGTGAGACATTGATAGGAAATCTGTTGTTACATGGATGGCTTTAGGCTGGGAGACAAAACGGTTCTAGGGATCTACATTGAAAAGTCGGAAACCAATAAGGACGGAGGTTAGCGTAATCACGGAATGCCTAAAATGGGTTAAAACTTAACATGGTTGCAACAGAGACTAAGTACTTTTCGACAGCCAGATGGTAATAATAGCGATATAAAAAGAAATCGTTAAATATATTGCGTTACTGGACTGTAAGAAAGCCATAACTGAATACTTTTCCAGGCCGCTCGGAGATAATCGCCGAATGTATCTTATAGTGCTCGAGTGTGTTAAAGCGGAGGTCGTGGGTTTGATTCCAACCTGAGCCACTAGTAAGGGAGCGCACAATAAGCCCGATGGAGGCCTAGATCTATTTCTTCCGATTTGATGTTACATACATCCTTCTATTATACTAACTAACTAGAATAATGTATCGGTGGATAAGGCCACTGAAATCCTATGGGATGGACAGATTCAAACAAATATAGAATATGCGGAAATGATAATGACTCGCTGGAACATTTCTATGTCATTGCTAGGCTATCGTCGAGATTAGATCCGCATATATTAGCAACGATGTTATTCCAGATATTACATTTCTCAGGAATACTGACTAGAAAAATCTTTGGAAAATTTACTGTAAAAATTCGCGATAAAAAAATTAGGATAATTTATGATCACCGCAACAAGTCGTATGTATTACTTATGCCTACTAAGTAATTGATAATTGCGTTATAAGAAAAACTTTTGATAATAATGTGTTATGTTAAAATGTAAAGTGGTAGAAATGTTAATAAATTAAAAAAAATATACAGAAAGTTATAGAGAAAACGACACAGATACAATTACAATCAGATTTTTTTGTTTGTTTTAAGTATTTGTTTAATAAATTTCGAAATTTTCTTAAAATGTATGTTGATATTTATTACAGTAAAGTGGCAATATTTAAGCAAAATTAATAGAAAAGTTTTGGCCAAAAAAATTATTGCAGTATTTGTATAAACATTAATAAATAATAATAGATGATAGATAGAAAGATAGAGATAATAGAACTACTTATAAAGAGACTAGACAGTATGTGTGTAGTAGTATGTAAATATTTAGTTAACAGAGTTTGTTAGCCAAAAAACACAATTGAAGCGGTAATTGCAGTGCGATCGATTCTTCAGAACCTTTCTGTATACTTACAAATTGGGAATCCTGTTTATGGTGGAACAACACAATCGATGAGCATAAGTGTGGTTTTTATATTTTGTTTGGTGGGTTTTTGATAAAAATGGCATTTGATATTTCAGGTTATAAAGTTTTTAAATACATTTATTTTTTATATATTTGGTTTCAATTGGATTGTTTAAATATATATTTTATATATTTTATCATTATTTGGCAATATTTCAAATAAAAAAGAAAAATGAAAATATTGATGAAGAGAAAAAGAAAACAAATTTACAATACAATACGCCAGAGTTGAGAAAACAAAAAAAATAAATTTATTTTATATTTTAAAAGTTAAAAGAAAGAAAGAAACAATATAAAAAATATAAGGGTTAAAAAGACAGGCGGTGGCAGCAGCGTAAGGATCGCATGTAATGATGAAAGGATTATTTAAATAAATTTTAATTCAGTTTATATAATAAACATTTTTTGTTTGTTTTATTTCACATTGTTTCATTTTATTTTATTTCATGTTGAGTTTTTTTATTTTATTGTTGTTCATTTTAAATTTTTTTTATTTGTTATTTGTTTTATTTTATATTTTTATATAAATTTCCACCAATTTAAATCCAAAATATGTAATTGTAGTAAAGTTATACGTGCATATATGTATAATATATGCAGGGAAGTGATATAATTTTTTAAGGGGATTCAAGTTTTATTTTATTTTTAATTTGGGTATTTTTTTTTATTGTTTTAAGCGCCATAGGATATGCAAGGATACACAACATGTATGGAAGAGAAAGAAGAGAAAGAGAAAAAAAGTTTATAACATGTTAAACTGAGTATAAGTATAGGAAAAATTACAACAACTACAATAATAACAATAAAAAAAAAGAAACACCAAGAATAAAAAACTGTTAAAATGGATTAAATTTAATTGTGTGGCATAAAAGGATTGTTTTTCGTATATTCGTTATTTTTACTCATTTTTTTTCGAAGTCTTATATTTTTTTTTCTTATTTTTCCATATTTTTTTTGTTTTCTTAATTTCCATTATACTATCTCTGTCGAAGAAATTCCAAGTCCAAGTGTGATAGAATAGTGTCGACTAGTATGGTAAAATAAAGTACACTGGTTGCCTTAATATTTTAATATGATTTAAAATGAGAAAAATAAAGGGGAAAATACGCACATAGATAGACTGTATGTGCATTAGGGTGTGCTATTTTTGAAAATTTGTTATCGTAATTTCAAGGATTGGGGAAATATTGTAACACTTTAAGAGTTCTATTTGGTTAATATGAATTTTTCTGAAAACATACAAACTAAATGACACTACATATTTCATAATGTCCTCATAATACATTTCTGTATTAATAGTGTCATAATGGCCATGGACATTAGTCTCATAATATCCATGGACACTGTGACACATTTTGCTGCATTATTGACAAAATTTTCTACGTATACTGAAATTTGCTTCCTGGGCAAAAAGATACCGGTGACAGACAAAGTTAAGTTCTTTGGTGTAATCCTTGACCGGAAATTAAAATGGTGACACCACACAGAGGATAGGATCAACAAGACATATCGGTGCTAGGCGATATGTAGGAGAACCATAGGCATGAAATGGGGTCTTAGTCCTACTATGACATATTGGCTTTATAAAAGTGTAATTAGACCAATTCTAGCTTATGCTTCAATAATCTGGTGGACTGCTTTGGACAAAAAGTGTAATATCAATCTACTACAGGGAGTTCAGCGTACATGCTGCTTGGGTATAAGTGGTGCCATGCGTACTACTTCAACCAATGCCCTGGAAACGTTGCTAGATATTCCACCTAGCAGCAAATGCCAATGGGAATCCGTTGTTACATGGAGGGCCAAAGTGGTCTTGGGCTTCTATATTGAACACCCAGAAACAGAAATATACCATCGTTTACCTAATCGTAACACAAGCTTCCAGGCAGAAGTCGGAGCAATAACGGAATGTGTAAATTGGATTAGAACATTTATGGCGCCCACAGGGCTTAATATATTTACCGACAGCCAGAAGGCAATTAGTGCGATATCAGGAGATATAATTAAATCTAAGACCGTATTGGATTGTAAGAAAACTTTAACTGAATATTCTCCCAGAGGTAAGGTTTACATCATATTGGTACTAGGCCACTCGTTAGTAGTCAGCTGTCGTTAACCTGACGAACGCAAAACCTTTCAACGCAACAAAAGCTGAATTAAAAATATGGGCGAGAGAATCCCATAAGGCCTCTTGGAATAATGAAACGGTGGGTAGGACCACAAAGATCCTATGGGGTGACCCTGATGAGAGTAAGACAAGAAATCTCCTCAAAATGAGCAAGTCCGAAGTTAGTATGATGGTACGTACTCTGAATGGACACACAGGACTACGAGCACATCTAGACAAAATTGGGAGTGCGGATTTAGACGAGTGTAGAGCATGTGTAGAGGCCTAGGTGTATTATTTCGGATTTGAAGTAGTATATATCCTCCTATCAACCTAATCTAACTCATAATCTCTATGGTCATTACGATATGGGACATTTTATCAAGTCCCTGAGATTTATTTCCATTTTTTTTATTAAAATTGCCCCACTGTGATACGTTTATCCACTCCCATTTAAATAAAAAATAAACTTTCTTGTCATTTTAAAGACAAGAAATTGTTGAAATTGTTAAATACAAGAAAATCGGGTAAGCATATCTGTAACCAGTTATTTTGTGGTCCTCACCGAACAAAATAGTTATTAATCCATAAAGAAAGTGCTTCCACTTTGCTCCCATATAACTTGCTTGCTTACCGGGTAAGTAAAATTTTCGCTGGGTTATTGTCGATTAAAATTTTTGGGGATTTCGGGAAAATCTAAATTCTTGGTTGTGATTCTGTAAATAATCTAACAATTATTTCTGTGTATTAATTATATATAATCAAACAATTAAAAAATATTACTTTATCTTATGAAATAATGTCAAGTAATTCACCAGAATAAGGCAAGTTAAGCCATCTTTCTTCTGGGTCAGAGGTCAAATAAATGAATATTTAAAATTTTCCATAAAAATTATGATTAAAAAATATTTGGAAAAACTATTTTTTAAATTGTGAAAATCTTTTAAAGCTTCACTTAGATCCATTACTAGGACAATGTTAATCGGTTTCTTCAGATTCATAATTACAACATAAAGTTCCACATTAGCTATTTCCTCATTCCACAAAATTCTCAAAATAAAACCTTTCATACACCCTAATGTGTATACTTTCGAAGTAATGCTTTAAGGGTTGCCAGAATACTAAATCGACGAATAACGGCAATCAATTATTAGGCATATTATTATTTGTTAATTTAAGTTTCAATCAAATATTTCCGAAAATATGAATATAGTCTTATCTACATGTGAGTTTAAGAAAGAGACTAAAATGGCAACACTGGGCTGTATGTACTTAATTACTCATTTGATACAAAAACGACACATTTCAAAAAGTACAACTTCGAGTAAATTATTTTTAATTTTATTATTTTCATCAGTTTCTTATGGAAATTGTATAAAAAATGGATATTAAATGGTTAAAATATATAAAATTTAGAGATCTAGAAAACATTCAAAATTTATACTTTTTGAGTTATAATGATCTTGCTTAGAGCGGGCTTCATATGACGAAACGAATATAAACTACTTATATAAAGGGGTTTCCTTAAATTATTGTCAAAAACAAATAAATCTTTCAAAAAAATGGATTTTTATATTGATCCTTTTATTTTTAATGAGTATTCGTTAATATTATTAATTTAAATGAAAATATTAAACCAGGGCAATGTACAGTGGAATAGTAAATAAGAAAGTAAATCTGCAATTTCTAAATAGTTTGACAGTTTCAAATACAATTTCACATGAGTAAAAGGAAATATAGTTTAGGTTTTGTATATGAATCTGATAAACCCGCAGGGGGCGTGGTTAGAGGTTTCTAAAGCAGGAAAATATTAAAAATTATCGTAAATCTCCATTGGAAAATTATAAAACAATATAATTGTTTATTTCATTTAGTCTTTATATAGCACAATTATTCTTCGCATACTAGGCATAATATCGTCAAACTATAAGGACCCCCCTAATAAATCTGCATGGTTTACGTGGTGTAAATTATATGCGCGTCTTTTTGCAGCTGTGTGGTAGCTAGTATGTTTATGCATGGACCACCACATCACGCCACTTGCACAAGCCATTAAACAACACCCAAGAAAAGTTGGATTACTGTGGCGTGCGGGAAAATTTTACATAATTCGGGAAAGCGAAGAAAGGGCATATGGAAAAACTAAAAGGACAGGGAAGTGAGTGTAAGTATGTTTGTAAGTACAATCATTTTTTTCTGTATAGAAATAATTGCAGGAATTCACTTAATTTTAAATAGCTTAATTAACATCTTACATTTCAACGCAAGTATGTGTGTGTGTGTGTTTATTTATTATTTTTGTAAATGATAACTAAAGGGGAGAGAGAGAGATCTTAACACGTACTATACTACTGTTGTAAAAACAACAACATTGTGGTAAGAGTATTTTATCTGTATTTTTTATGATTTATATCCAACACAAATTCTTAATAGTCAATTTAAAGTCTCAATTAAGTTTTAATTTTCAATGGTTGCTATAAATATTTGCACTTAAACTGATTTAAAATATCTTTTACAAAAAATTATTATAAGGAAGAGGAATTCATGCAGGAGATAAGGATATAGTTTGAGGTTTTTTAAATTCTTGTGTTCATATTTAAAACTTTTCAGAGTTTCGTATTTTACTTTAAAATTCATTTAACAGGCGTTTGGATCCCACCAAAAAGTTGGTATTTGATCTGTGCAACTTACCAACAATCTAGGCAAACTATAAAAATACGAAGGGGCTCAGTGGCGGTATTTCGGAAAAATAGAGATGAATCTGTAATTACGTTTGGTCAGATTATAATAAAACTGAATGTAACTAAAGAGGAGGTGTTTTTGAGTTTAAGCTTTGAGTTTGAGACTTACAAAAACTCACTTGTGCTGGATCCAAAGGTTCCAAAAGTTGGCCCAATTTTTTTATATTTTTTTAACCGGATGTAATTCTACTTTTGGAATTACATTAAACCTGCATCGGTCATATTTATAACTCAAAACATAAACTCGACACTCTCTCTCTAATCAAGTAAAATTTTATTAAAATCGGAACGAACACTTATGAACTATAGATTTATGTCGCCTATTCCCAATTCCCTAACTTTGAACCTTCGTAGCTTATAAAATTTTATTCAAATCGGATCAAACATTTAGATATTACAGATTTTTTTTCCATTTTTAAAAATTTTCTTACTGTAAGGAGATTGAAAACTGATGATTTTTTGAACATCCAAAGACCTAATACTCATTAAAAATGAAAGGAACGATTTAGGAATTGTTGGAAAAAAACCTAGCTCAAATATCTGTTTTCATTTTTAACTTCCTTTTTATAATAAACTCCTAATATACACATATATTTCATGATTTAAGATCTTTAAGTAACTAATAAATTATTGCAGGATAATTAAGGATAATCATGAGCATGAATTTTTGGGTTCTCTTTCACTATTATTATGCGTGTAGATATGCTAAAGCCTTAAATGATCCAATTGTATATGAAAATTTACAATACTTACAGTCTCTGAACCAGCGGCTGTGACCAATTCCTGTAAAGCACGAACTGATAAAGCCTGCTCGATGACAAATACACATTGCGATAGATCGGGTGGTACGTTCTTGTCGGCAATATTTTCCAGGAAACAGTGACGATTACCAAACCCTTCAGCGGCAAGACAGACACGCTCTCCCGTTGCTGTGCACGAGAGGCAAACCATGTCTTCCTGTAAAACGACAAAAAGGGGGGCATAATTAAAAATAAAACATTTATTCACTAATACTTATAACAAAAGGTAATTAAATCAACACAAATTACTCATACTCATTGTGATGCGCTGTTTAATCATCATTTCCTGTTGCTGCAACTTATTGATTGATATCGTTACATTGGTATTGACACATACATACATATAGTCGTATTTATCATTGTATTATATTTTTGGAATGCAGTGCAATTGTTGGCTCATACAATGGCAAGTAACATTTGCGGTATTGGTTTGATTGATTGATCGTTTGATTCAACGGTTTTGCTATTTTCAAAATTCACCTTTGTATGCGTCTAATGCTTTTTTTTCCTGCTGCTGCTGCTGCTATAGTGGCTGTTTTTACACTTTTCACCAAAAATACATGCTAAATGGTATTGAGTGTGATGATGTGGTTTCTGGTCATTTGTATTTTCTAACTATGTCAAATTGTTCTTGTAAAACACTGGCATTGATTATGACTAATGTTTACGAATGCATCAGTGTTGAAGTAGAATTATTCAAGGCTATTTAGTATAGATATTTTGCTAAAATAGAGGAATAATTTCTATTAATAGGCTTTATACATATATGCACATATGTATATCGACAGGTATGCTAGCTCATATGATACCCTACCATAGCTTGAATAGGTACCATTTTTATATTGGTATTGATTAAACTCGTTTCTTAATAGTAGGCTCAGAAAAGTGCATACATATATCTAGTGTTCTTAAAAGGTTTTAAGACGTTATGACTATGTCCGTCCGTACTAACGTTGGTTTCATACAAAAATCCCCGAAATTCAGTTTAAAACATTCCTCTGTAGTATTATATAAAATAAACCCCAGAAATTATTATAATACTTGCGTATCCTGGTTGCTTCGCTTTCCACCAATATTGCCCATTATCAATACCAAACAAACCTTACCTATAGGAAATATTTGTGTAAAATTTGAACCCTCTAGCTCATTCGGTTCGGCCTCTATCGTGTTTTCAACATACAGACGGTCGGACATGGCTAGATCGTATTATAATTTATTAAGGACCCAGAATATATATACTTTTGTGGATCTATGTCCAATATTTAGATGTGTTACAAACGGAATGACAAAATCAATATACACCCCATCTTTTTTGATGCTGGGTATAAAAATTCAACATCGAAGATAGATAGAAAACACTGTTTTACAAAAAAGTACCAAAAATGAGTACTTTTTTACATATTATTGATATAGCACGCCAATGATATCTTCTGAAAATCAGACTGATTATATTTCGCATTTATTTTATGACAAACTTATGTCAGAATTTTTCCATAAAAATGCTTTTAGAACACGATGAGAAAATCCATATTTGAATTCAGCGCAGCTCAATCCTTTAGAAATGTATCGGTCTTCTCATTTTTATACCCTACACCACTATAGTGGGCAGGGTATTATGCATTTGTGCTGATGTTTGTAACACCCAAAAATATTGGTACTACACCAACCTTAAAGTATATCAATCGGCTCATAATCTGAATCGATTAAGCTATGTCCGTCTGTCCGTCCATCTGTCTGTCTGTCCGTCTGTGTATCCATGTAAACCATGTGCGCACAATTTGGCACATACTCTTTTTTCGACCTAGGACGAAGCCTATTGAAAATGGTAAAAATCGGTCCATTATTTTGCCTAGCCACCATACAACCGTACCCCCAAGTATGGCTTTTGAGGTCATAATTATGTTAAATGTTCTGGTATCTGTACAAAAAATACTTCCGATTTTCGTAATGATCGGTCCATATTTTACCCCAGCCCCCATACAAAGTCCCCTTCGGAAAATTACTTGAAGGTCAAAATAGGGCCATAACATCATAATAACTTCATAACATAACTTATCTTTTGGAAATCGGCCATGTCCGACTGTTCATTCTTACTTGTTAAATTTTGGTGGCCTGTGATATGGAAGAAATTTATATATTGCTTTGACTTGTAAAATACTTCATCTCCTTACTAGTGTATTTGTAGAAAAGTTCACATGCTTCCTCCCACGTCCAAATCGTACAGATAGGGAAAAGGGCAGATAAACAGACATAAATCGGTCTTGAATTTCAGTTTGATCAATTTCTGTTTTGGGTTTGAAAAGTGTTTTTATAAGTTTTGCAAAAAGTGACTTAAAATTCAGTTAATAATTAAATAAATATATACATATTTTTGTAAAAACTAAGCTACCCTTACACTACACTATTTCCAACTGCAGTTCAATATTTAAGATTTGTATTGCGGAATGAAATTGTATACTGATATACAACTACATATAAATATCTAAAATACAAACAGATATTTCTGAAATTTAAACTTTCGAATTGCAATGCAAAAAATTTCAGAATCGAAATTTTGGAAATGGTGTTGAAGTAAATTTAACTTACTGTCAATACCGGGATGAATAAATGCATTGCAGTCAAGCTGAAATATTTGTACCGACTGCAGTTGCAACAACAAATACTAAGTACAACGACAACAACAACTAAAACACAGCAACTATTCATGTTGTCATACCACCATGTTGTGGTCTTTTCGGCTGTGATTGTAAATGAAAACATTGGTGGTAGAGGTGGCATTGACGCAGCAATTGCAGTTGTGGTCACTAACACACACTCAGTGATTCGGTCAGTCGTTTACTACTTATTTTTTTTTCGTATTTATTCCTACATTTTTATACTATTGTGCGGAGTGTACGGTATCGTTTTGTATTTTAGTTGTGAATATTTGCGTATATAATTTTCTGATTTATACCTATACAAAGTTGGAATAGTTCCACTTAAATTCATTTCATTACATTTTAGGGCAATTCAAGAGATAACCACAATTATTTGGGGGGAAAAAATTATATGAATGTGTGTGAAAATATGTAGTATAATTTGTATACAGAAATCTCTATCGTTGTATTTAAATTCCCTTAATAAAAATCTACTTGATTTCGTAAAAGTGAAATATGTTTTAAATGACACTAACTTTGTGTAAGGGTATTGCAAAAGTAGATAGTATATAAAATAAGTAAAACTGTTTTATTATTATTAGGATCAGATCACCAAAACAACTTAAATTGTTGTACTTCTGTTAGACGTTACATAAATGAATAAAAACTACCAACGTTTTATAACAATCAATTTTTTCTTAACTTTAATCTTTGTATCCCATAAATTTTTGCGAATTTTTTCTAACACATCATCCATTCTTTATTACATGTAAAATAGTCCAGTATTTTCATGTTATGTAAGTACATAATTTTAAGTTCATATCCATGTAAAATCTACACGTGTTTTGTAAGAACAAAATGATAAATTACAATACTTTGTTCCAATCATTACACTTTTATGTTGTCAAAACATGTTTAGGCCGAGGGTTAAAAATAATTTGACAAATTTGCCATTTCCTTTATACTGACACAGTATGATTAAAATCGAAAAATGAACAGAGAAAAAAAATTCAACAATAATTATGAGTTTCACCATAAAAATACTCTACTCAGGTTCTAATCATACATACATATTTCTACTTTAAAGCTCTTTTATAGAACTGCTTGTATTCACACTTTCGATTGGGCAATTTTGATGGGTAATAAATTTAAACCACGGAATTGGATTTATGGCCCATAATTCATAATACATACGGACATTTGCCCTTTTTTGTCCATTAAATGCTACAATAAATTGATGATAGAGAGAAGGTGTGAGATTGCTACTACGGCTGCTGCAACATTGTTTAGATGTAAAGTAAAGTGATATACAATATAGATAAATACGAGAGTTGATTAGAAATTTTTGGAAAATAGAAGCTGACACATTACTGAGAATGTATGGTTAATACAATATATTAAAAATACAGATGTCAAGGCCCCAAACTGTTAGCAGTTCATATCTGAAAAATGTGTGCTTCTATAGTTTATATTCATTGTACTTTCTAAAGATCGGTCTTATGGAATGAACGAAAGCTTTATATAAATACATTTTTTACATGCAGAAAATTTGTATATCCCTCCTCGTGTCGGTATGCCCGAATGTATGTGCATGATGTATTTGTTTGTAGGTAAAACTTTGGCTTTTATATTTTACTTCCTCGTCTTCTATATACGAATAAGAAGTTGGTACTATATCAGCAAAGCGATGCACAGTGTAACGTTTTTTACTTTTAGTATAACAAAATGAATTAATGAAAAAGCTCAGGGGTTTCTGCAAAGCAGCTCCACCTCTAAAATGATTGAGCATTTAGCACAGAAACAATCTGAGTCGCCACGCAAGACGAAAGAAGTACCACCGATCACCAAGCGATCGGCTTTATTTTTGAAGTAGGTTATCGCATAATTAAAGTAACTATATGAAGCCTCTAGGCTTGAAGCGGTCTGTGTGAAGAGTAGATCCACAGCTTTTATACTTTTGGAACCTTTAAAATAAGCGATAATAATATGTTTAATCCAGAGATCGTAGTATAGTTTTCTAAAGGATTGAGCTGCACTGAATCCTAATCTTAAACGCTTACACAATGGACTTTCAGATGGCATTCAACATTTTATAAATAAAGTTGTCTTGGTGTTGTTATAGAGTCTCAAAGAGGATAGCGTTTTTTCAAACTTAAGAACAAAGTATTTCAAATCTCACATGTGACGGAGAAAATCTGGTCTCAGGGTTTCGACTTCTTTTAAATTTTGTCAGCCATTGTAATAGAAATCTTACGAATCAGTAATTTGGACCCACCAAGGTAGATGTGATTATTTATGAATTGGTAGGAAATCAATTTTGAATCAGAGGTCACTTGCGCCTTTATTGTAGAAAGAACAACCTGAAGCCTCTTCAGCAGACCTCGGATATCAACCTCGGATTTGTTAGGAAAATAATTTTATCTCTTGGACAAAGTAGTTGAAGATGACGCCCTGTTGGACTTAGGTTGTTACCAAATAGGGAGAGTAATGGAAGTTAATCTCCAATAGTCCATAGCAGTCT